ACCTCTGATACATTCAGTGTGTGTGGGGAAAGTAACCTTATAGAAAACCGCAACGTCTGACTATTGTTTTATTTTAGTCTTCCGTTTTATATTTGCACCTGCGCACAAAAGGAATGAACACGGATTTATGTACTATCATAAGTAAAAACGTTGGGTAAATACAAACATCATTGGCTATTGGGGGGATTTGGGGTAGTACTGGCTGTATTGTCTTTAATGATCAAAGGTTGTGCTCGTTATTTATAATGTAATAGACAATATATTAAGTATAAAAAAGTTAAGGTTAGCGATCGGGCGCTTAGGTCACATGCCAATCTTGGTATTCAAAACTACTATATATATATATCCAATAATACCTACAGCATGTGAAGGCACCATTTAAAAAATGTGAGCCATTGTGACGTCACACCCACGACCTTTTTAAGCAAAGAAAACAAGTATTCATGACAAAAATTATCAAAAATAAAATACGTATTCTTTTCCCCAAACACATCGTCTTAAAATGGATATGCATGTTTGTTACTGTGGTTTTAAGGGCATCAGAACTATTGCCAACTCTTTTAAAAAGCCACAGTCGCCTGCTTATCACTATCACTCATTTTTGCCTGAAGTATCAAAACATTCTTAATTCAAAAAATCCTTGTAGACAACAAAAAACTGCGGACACACTTTCATTGAAATTTTAATGTTTAAGCTTACAATACATTACATAAATTACATATATTCTTCATTGACCAACTTAAATAAAATAAATTACAAAGACAAGAGAATACTCATTGATAAATTAACGTTGAAGACCTTGCATGAATCATCAATTTCAAACAATAAAATATTATAAATAAAAAAAATACTGTTTATTACAAATTTACTGTACATCACAGAAATAAAGCCACGTCGTATATTTCAGTTTTACAAACCATGAGCTAAAAATGCATCCAAATGTGGCTGTAATTTGGTGCGGCCTTTAGAGGTGGGTATATAGACACAGGCATCCACCGAACTGAATGACATGGTGTGTCTGATACACATTTCGGCTTAATTTCCATGAAATACTGTAGTTTAATTCTATATCAATGATATATTTAAATGTTAGGTCAGAGTTGTGCACTGCATTATAATTAATAGTGTCATCACTGTCATAATAACACTGTGATTACATGGGTACATGGTTACCATTGAACAGCTTGTGTCACAAAAGTCAAAGAAATAGAACAATTTTATTTAAATCTCCCGAAGTGTAGATTATATCTTCACTGTGCTTGTGTTTCATTATCACAGCAGGATGGTCTGACAAGACCAACACTTATGATCAACAGTATAAGTTTTTCTCTGAGCCTTTGCACAGAAAATGGAGGTAGCTACTGTAACAACAGTACTTTTGTCCAGAATTACATTATGAAACAGCCTCAAATATCACTTAGTCATGCGCAACAAAATGCTTTTAAATGGCTGATGTTAGAGCCAGGAAGAAGCCATATCCAGTGACTTACAGAAATGTCTATTTACTAACTTTTATCAAAATAACCATTGCACAATAATCTAGTCCACCCACAGAAAAATAAATGATTTTGTTAAAATCAGTGATACTGGCTGTCTGTCTCTGACTTAAAAAATGTAGACACAGGTGTGCACAATTTTTGGTTATGAGCTGTGGCAGCAGTTATCAAGTAGTGACAGGTATTTTTTACTGATTGTTTTTCTTAGAGTGTACCAAGTCCACATGTTGCTAATGTGTGTTTTTTCAGTCACCAAACCTCTCTCTTAAAAACCTTTGATATGGCAATATACCTCCAAACTGGAGAAAAGGACATAGAGAAACCAGAGTCCAAAAAGCAGCAATGAGGTAAGGGTTTTGGGGACTCGTGAGCCCCCCAGTTCACCACCTATGGACGGCCGCCGGCGTACCATTAGTAGTGCCACAGTGAATAAGGCAAAAATGGTGAAGAGTGTAACAGAAAAGGCCAGTGATCCAGGCTCCACACGAAAGACCTTACCTTTGACCTCCCAATATACAGCAGCCACTGACCAGGCCACTCCAATACCCAAAAACACATTGACTGCATTACTTCCTGTCACATTTCCTATAGATGCGTCTGCGTACTGGTCCTGAGTGGCAGCCACTTTACTGGCAAAAGTATCTGAAGGAAAAAAGAGTTTCCACTTTCAATTATTCAGGCCAAAGGAAACATTAACTTTCTTTTTTGAGATTCAATCAAGAACTTATTTTACCCTTCAAAATAACAATAAAATCTGTTGTGAGACTAGATCTCACAATTTCATTTAATTAATTGTTATAATTCATTAAACATTTAACATTTAATATTTTTATTATTCATTATTTTATATGTTGTTTTGTCTTATCTTATCCTACAGCAAGTAAAAAAATAAATAAACTGTCAACTCACCAGGAAGTGAAGTCCCCAATGCCACAAAGACCACAGCAGTAACAGCATCTCTCAAGCCAACAGTGCAGCCAAAATGTGAGGCAAGGTCTCCAATAAGAGCAGTTAAGAAACCAATGACGCAGATGGACACAATGAAGCATGCCCAGCCATTCCAGTACTGGGTGGGTGGAACAAAAGCGAACAAAATCTTCCAAAAAATGCACAATATGTGCATGAAATAGTCAAAGCAGTTTGGCATTCGCTGTTCTTGTCCTTCTTCTTCATCACCATTACCTAGTTACAGAAGATGCAGGAGGGACGTTATATTTAGCAAGAAAGGACTTACCAGGAGTTGTAAAAATGACATACAATTTTAGAAAAACAGGTTTAAATATTCTGGTTGTAAAAGCTTAAAGTGTGTAGATTATAGTAATTAGGCTGTAGCCACTACAGTTAGCTGTTTTTATATGTAAACTCAGCACTCTGTGGTTTCTAATGGGAAAAAACACACAGCATTTACACTTACCAGCACTGACTGTGACTGCTTCAATGAACTGTTCTCTCCATGAATGAGTACCCAATACTGCAGCCAGGTTTGTGTCTTTCAGAAGTTTGTCGACTGTGCTCTGTAACAACATTTCATATGTTGGTGAGAACACAACAGTTCAGATGGTTAAGTAACCATGACACAACACCACTTTTCCTTCTTTCTGTTGGGGACTTTTCTGTAACTCAACCATGATATTGACCTTTGAGGTCAACTATTTGATCCAGACCAATGCACAAAACACAACACTCATAAAACCACAAACATATCTGCTCTGCCGCAAGACTTGACATCAAACCAGTTTTAAATGAACAATACTACTGTACACACTGACACCCACACATAATGTTTCAGTGCATCCAAAATCAAGATGCATGAGAGAAGTTGAAAAGTGACAGACATGCAGTACATCCTGTTATTTTATCAAAGAAAAAGTTTAAGAAAGAGAAGGTAAGAGAAAATCTGTGGGTCATCCCTTTACCTGGTCTAGCATTCCATTGGGAATCTGAGTGAGAGGGTGGCAGGTGAGTACTGAGCTAAACAACAACATACTTTACTCCAAACAGCAACACCTCTAAACTTTCCTTAAAACTTTAACTTGACCTTTGGGTTTGGTTAAGAGTTACATCAAGGCTCAGTGATATGGATCTCATCCTGTGACCGAGAGGACACATTTTATTTTTACTGTATATGTGTCTGTATATGTAGATTGACTAATAAAGCTAGGTCTTTTATAATAATATATATAATCGTCCTTTATGTCTCAAGAGTTTGGATAAGAAAAATCTTGGAAGATTCCAATCCGAATACAAAACTGTATAAGGTGTCTCTGCTCACAGCTTTATGCTGTTTGACCGTGGAAAACTAGTCATCTATTGAATTAAAATGCAAAATGTAAAGAGCTTCAAAGTAGTGTGTTTGTTGTGGTACTCACACACCTTGAACTCACAGGACTCCTCTATGATGACCTCCAGCTTCCTGTGCTCTCCCAGAATCGGTTTTCCCATTTCAGAGATTCTCCTGGCTTCCTCCTCCTCAGGACTGGGGTTTCCTGTCAGAAGAGTACAGATATTTATCCATGACATCATCACTGATTTGTATCAAACACACAAAACACAGGTTTAAAAAGCTGGAACCTTTGTAATGAAGGTTAAATAATGATAGAATAGTTTCACACACTGCACACAGAGATACTCTTTTTTCCCATTTTCTTACTATATAAAACAAATGAACTACTATAATCAGATATAAAAGAAAACTCCAAGCACGTCACTGTCAAGACAAAATCATTACCTTGGTTTAGCAGCAATGCTGTAAAGAAGACAGACACTGATTGAAACCCACTGAAAATCTTCATTCACAGGGATTAAGTTTAAAAGAGCTAACATTTAAAGTTCCATTGTCCTGACATGAACTCACATCAACAAAATACACCATTGGTAACAAATGTATAATAATATCCATTTGTGTCTATCAAAAACCCAATATGTAACAATGTACTTCAATAATCAAACTAACAAAGTATCTTGTGTTTTTTACAATCTGATGTGACACTGTTTTACACAAAACAAATAAAAAAATGATACCTGTAACCCATTCCAAAAGGCTGGCAAGCTTATATACAGGCCACAAACTTAATTCCTGGGATTTTTCTCTTTTTTTGGTGTGATTATTTTCAAGTTTGCCAGTTGAATGACAGCTCTAATGAAATTAAATAAAAACCCTCATTTTCAGTTCTTGGTTTCACATATCCAATACGTTCCATCTCTTCATTTCCTGCTTTATTTATGGCCTGTTCCTATCACCGGTTCTCATCTGTTTCCAATTCCCGCATCACTGTGGGAACACACAGGTTACAGGGAGCTAGGATCCTAAATTCATAATTAGCTGCTGTGCCCATGCCACAGTGAAAGAGAGCCATCGTTTAACGACCGCATGTTATCTTCGGTTACTGGCTCTGACGCATTAGTCTCCCAGCTAATGCTGCAATTGTTTAGACACTTGATCTCAGCTAATACTGCTCTGTTTAAATGTAAGCAGGGGGACATTTTTAATTAACTTGTCTAATAGCCTGATCATTTATCTTTTGCTTTTAAAAATGTTTGCTCTCACCTGAAAGGCCTCGCTTCAACCACTTAGGGTCTTCCAGTACGATAAAGAAGTTCTCCTGCTTCTCATATTCGGCCACATTTAAGATGTGCACCTGTAGGGTCTGACTGCACACACAAACACAAAATGAGTAAGTTATTCTAAATATAATTAGAATAAATCAGAATTAAACATCTTGAACATTGTTATTATTTAAATTGCAACACAAACTAAAGCATCCAAATAAACTGAGTCTTCTAGGCGTTGTTGCGTAACCGCCAGTTACTAAGTGTACACTTAGTGCTTGTGCAAACAGAGCTTATATAAGCTGAAAATTTAATGGTAAAATGATCTGTACAGTAACATGGGCTGGTTATAGGTTCCCACACCTGATCAGGGAGGGATTATCCTTGGGTGTCAAGTCAAGTTGAGAATTTCTCCCACTAATGATCCAAGGTAGAAGAAACGATCTAAAAGCACAGAGTGTTGTGTTTCAGGACTACAACACTCCTGGATGAAGAGTCTTGAAGAAACCAAATATTTCCTGTTTCCTATCTCTGAACTTTTTAGGATGAAGTGACCAGGATGTAAGAAAAGCTACACAGACATGCGGATTGTAGTTTTTGATAATGTTAATGGATGCATTTAGATATCTAGCTGAGACCTACAATGCGTTGACCATATCATCAAATAGTCTACTTTTTTCCGCCCACCTGGTTTGTTCATTGGTGAATTCCAGCTCCCCTCTGGTCTCTTCGTAGTCCACCCCAGCTCGTCCAGTGCCATCCTCTGTGTGGTACGGCACCGCTACAGTTCCTCTGGATCCTGAATTCCTCACTACCGTCACCGTCAGTGTGCCTGTGTTCTCGCCCACTCGCAGCACCTGCTGGCCAAAGGTAAAGATTCCCGCATGATCGTCGTCCAAGATAGTGATGGTGGCCGTCATAGGCTCCACTAGTCTGCCCTTGGGTGGATTTCCTGTGCCTTCGTTTCCACCTTCTTCAGTTCTCAACTTGCAAAGACGCACAAAGAAATGCTCATCCTCTTCAAAAATGTCATCATCCAGTATACCAACCTGGAGAAAAATTTTTTTTTACTGTATTGTTGTCACTGTTTTCACAAAAGTTCAAAGGTAAAATTGGGTGTTAGAACAGACAACACAGAAAGTAAGGTGTAATAGAAATTTGTCCTTTAATTTTGACAATAACTATACCTTGATCTCCTTGTGAGTCTCTCCAGGCTTAAACACCAGGGTTCCTTCAGTGAACTCATAATCCGCCCCAGCATTTGCTGAGCCATTTTCTGTGCAGTAGTCTACATAGAAAGTATTCTGTCCTGTGCCCCCATCGAGGATCACCCCGAGGCTCAGAGAGCCACAGTTCTCAGTGCACTGGTACTGGGCACTTTCAAAGCAAATGTGTGAACACGTGGCTTTGTCTGTTCCCTGGCCTCCTGCGCGGCGAGTGTGGTCAGCAGCGTGTTTCTTCAGTATGTTACCAGCACCAATCAACATGCGTGTCGCCTGCACACGGTAAAAGGCCCGGCTCTTCTTCTGGTGCACTAAAGTAGAGTAGTTGGCCATTTCGATGAGCTGGTCCAGGTCTTTGTCTGGATGTTTCTGTTTCAAGTCTTTGAGGATACGGACCACCTATCCAATAAATATGAAATCAATCAATCAATCAATCAATCTGTCTGTCTATTTATCTATCTACTGTGACGTGTCTGTGAAATCAGTATAGGCGGTAACATGAGTCACTGATTTGTTATGAGACCCTCACATGGCTGATAAATAACACATGTTATAACACACAAGGTTTACTAAGGCAACTTGACATTAATTGATGTCAGTAATTTAATAACAAACAAGGGTCAACAAGAATTTATCATCTTCTCTCTTGTTTTCATAGATTTGCTTTCATACTCTTTTCACGAGTCTTGGCCCTTTCAATTATGTATGCCTAGAAATCAAACCCAGAAATCTATGCTCTCTACTTGAAAGACAGACATGCTTACTGCTGCACAACCAACTTGGTTGCACGGCGTCTCCTCAGCCACATTCTCCATCTTACCTCCTCTTTGTCCTGCTCCAGTTCTTTCCCTGTTTGTACAGAGACTGTTGCTGTGGAGTTTTCTGGACCTGCGCCGCTGTCTGACATCTTTCCATCCATGATGACATCAATGCCTTTAGGCGCAAGGTCACCTTCCATTTCCACAACTATGCCGTGACGTTTGTCTGCGCGGTAGCGTTTGTGCATATACTTGTAGAAAAGAAGGCGACGGTCAGCAATCCAAGCCAAGAGAACACACACCGGAAAGTAAAGCAGCGTCACAATGCCCTCCCATACCTAGACATATGGAGGTAAAGGACTGGTCATAAATGATCATAAATAGCAGATTTTTTTCTTTTTTTATGAAGTATAAACGGACACAAACCTCCACAATTCCAGGGGAGATGACGGCTAGTATGAGGTACAGCCAAATGTAGGCAAAAATACTCCAGAAAGATGTGATAAAAAACACACGTAGGTGTTTGATCTTGCGAGATTCTCCATCAGGGATTACTGATACGCACACACCAATGATCACAAACATGTTGAAAGCAGCGCTGCCCACGATGGTGCTTGGGCCCAGCTCACCTGCATGGAAGTTGTGACCACACACCTGTCAATGTGAGAAGTGAAATGACAGAGAATGCAGCATGAGGAAGCAATCTGGCAATTACTTTAAATCAGTGGTCTTAAACTCGTGTCCCAGGGCCACTAGGTGTCAATAATTATTAAATGTTTTTTAATTGTTAAAATGCTTTAATTGGTTATTTAAGAATGAGAAAAAATGTACTAGCTGACTGCACTATAATTTTAATTTATATTAAACAGAAATGTAATTTTAAAAAAAGTATTAATTATTGAACACTAATATGACCTTCCAATAAAATGACAGCTGTTTTGATGTAAGAAAGGAAAACGATTGTAAATGATTGCAAAGTTAAATTTACTGTCACACGTGTGTGTGTTTGATGTATAAATAATGTGAACGTAATGTAGAAGTAAAATATGTGAGAACCTCAATAATAGAGAGCAGGATCTCAGGTGCAGAGGAGCCCAGGGCCATGAGAGTGAGGTTGGACACCGTCTCATTCCAAATTCTTACTGTTGTTTCTGTCTTTTCTCCATTAGAGTTGGTGATGGTCACTTTCTTTTCCTGTTGATGCAAGAAAATGGGGATCAGTGTCAACAGCAACAGTAACAGGTATTTTACTACTTAGATTAAGTTTATTTAAAAATAAAATGAGGAAATGGAAAATTATGTTCATTTACAGAAATTCCAAACTTCCATCTATTTTGACTAATTTTAACAAGGTGAATCAAAACTTGTCAGTAATACCTGAGAGGTGATGACCTCTATTGATGCCATGAAGCGGTCGGCAATGATGGACACACCCATGAAGATGTACAGGAGACAGAGGAAGTAGATGATTGCTCTCCCTGCCTGCTCCCCCAATGGAGGGTTGAGTGGCAGCCACACTGGCAGAAGGATTCCAGGTTTACACACAACAGCATCGGTGCATGAACGCTTTCCAGATGAGTTGCCTGTGGGTTGTGGGGGATCTGGGCCAGATGCTCTCTCCATAATTGGTACCCTGTAGGAAGTGCAGGGGTGAACCATGAGGAGCAGGGACATGAGGAGAACTGAGAGTGAAAGAAGGTGGACTGGAAGAGGTTCCATGGTCTCCCTCAGTCCAGTGAAGCACAGTGGTCACTAGGGGAGTGGCTGGGTCCAAAGAATCTCCTGAAGAGACAAAAGAAACAGCATAATGGAAAATAAACATCTATTTTGTTGATTTCTATTTAAAAAGATTTCCTTGAACAACACAAACCAGGAATGAATATCTGAACACATCTTAAAACTAAACCAACATTAATAAAACATTTTTTTAAATCAAAACCTGTTGCAAGACTTCAATAATTTTCAAATGTTTAAAACATTTCAAAACAGTTCAAGAAACCTTAGAGAGATCTCTAGTCTTTAGTCTTAACTAAAACATTGTGTTTTAGTCACTAAAGACACTAGAGACCTTTTGATGTGAAAACATCTGTCTTACAGCTTTTTGACTAACCATACCCGTCTATACAGATCAAAGCTAATTGTAATGTCTGTCCTCCTGAAGCAGACAGGCCTCTGTTGTGATTCAAGGATGGGGCATCCTGTCCCATGACACCCGTGTACAGGAAGTTTTGTGTCTGTTGTTATTGTTACAAACACAGGCTTGTTATTGGATGTTTAAAGTAAACGGACCCCGCACAATCTTCTAAACAGATTACCAAAATGAGCTGTGAGAAACTAAAGCCGGGTTGTCAAGTCACACAGCTTAACTGGTTAACATTACCTGCTGCTAATCACAGAGGTGAGAAGAGTGACTTGGCACTAATTCACAGTTCTCCTTGCTGCTCTGTCCTAATATATTAACATGCATTTTCTGCAAAAAATAGTTCAGGCATACATAATTGAAAGGACCAAGACTCGAGAGTCTGAGAGTATGAAAACAAATCTACGAAGACAAGAGAGAAGATGATAATTCCTTGTTGACCCTTGTTTATTATTAAAATAACAGACATCAATTAATGTCAAGTTGCCTGAGTAATCCTTGTGTGTGGTAACATGACTTATTTATCAGCCATGTGAGGGTCTCATAACAAATCAGTGGCTCATGTTACCGCCTATACTGATTTCACAGACACGTCACACTGACATATCTCTGTCAATGTGACGTATGATAGATAGATAGATAGATAGATAGACAAAAACAACAATAACACAAGAATAAATTCAGCACAATACAAACAAGAGCAGCAGTTCACCATCAAACAATAATAATAATAATATAACAGAAAGAAATAATCCAGATAACAGGTTGACAGTCAAAACATACACAACTCACTTCCATGACACAGGACGGTACCATGCAATACCATGCTAGCCTTGAGCAGTGGTAGGTTCTTCATGTCTGTGTCAGAGAATGTTCCTTAACATATCTTTGATGCAACATTACTAACAGTACATGTTACATAATTCACAACAAGCACCGTGTCTAGTGGTTTAGCCCTGCAACACAAGTGCAAAGACATTCACTAAGAAGATTCAGGAAAACGTGTGAAGAGCTTTAACTAAGCTAAATAGTGAAAGAGCAAACATGCATTTATTTAATGATGGCTACCGAGCACGACTGGAGGACCAACTGGCTGCAGAATGGATATGAATTATCTGTGGTGGGAGTGGTAGGGGGAGGCCAACCCATTGCAGCTTTGGGTAATCCGCAAATTCTTTCTTCTCTCTGTGAGAATTGATCAGAGATTACCAAAACATCAGTAATATGCATTAGCATAATGTTTAAGAGACTGCATGATGTCATCGACATGTAAGTGAGCACTGATGATTTGTTTCATCAAACCATTAAGCCCAATTTTACAATGCATCAAATGAATTAAAAACATTCTACAATGATGTGCACCCTCAAGGACGTAAGGATGTGACTGCTGCAGGGCTGTTCAGGTGACACAGCACCTTTGTACACTGTGAGTTTGAAACAGATACTCAGGTGCTGCATCTTTGATGCAGCCTGAGCTGTGCCAGCTCATTTGGAGTTGTGATTCAGAAGCACAGTCCAAAGGGCCCGACGCATCACATTTCACTTTCAAAAGCCTGCTATGGTTACAAAGACCTCAGACAGAGAGCCACCTTACACCACAGCCTGCAGCTGGGGGGACGGCGGGGGTACTCTCACCAAAAATAACTTTCTCAGCACCTTATTGACATCCATAATTGCAAAACATAAAAGGTTTAAAATGATGAAGGAATGATTTAAAAAATAATATATTTATAGATACATAAATAAATATACAACTATATATGTATATATGACACATACCTTTGCAACAAACTGTGTCAGTCAACGGCGTCTATAAAGCAGGGTCTCTGGTAGCGAAACAACTCACCAGCGGCCACCACAGTCTATGAGAGCTGGCTAATTAAAAAGCTAGATACATTATTGATACATTCATTCACCTAAATATAGTCTTGTGTATTTCCTTTTGTGTTTCCTCCAGACTGCTGTGTAATCTTTCACATGCTGAGTCGAGGGAATGCCTTAAGCTGATGTAAACAGCTAGTTGTTTGGTTGTTAAACTAACGTTTGATTCCAAATACAATTGCAAATATGCACCTGAATATCTAATGCTGAACTGATTTTGATTCAACATTTTTTTACTAACATCTAGATTTATGGCCCCAGTACACAACCAAAGGTTCTTATTACAATAATATTTGGAGCACAGCTGATAGTTGTACATTCTGCCATCATTGTCATTAAAGTCATTAAATAACGTTATCAAGAGTAATAATGTACTTTTTATGAATTAGAAATGCTATTACTACACATTCTTTTTAGTTAAAAACATACAAAAAGTCACAAAAGAACTGAAAACTTTGCTTCGATTTTAAACATTCTACTTTGTGAAGCAGGATTTTCTGCAGTAACACCAATACCAGCATTATAACCCTTGTTTCTTTTGAAGAAGCCATAAAGATAATAAAATAAATAAAACTTGTACTATTTCCATATAATACAACAAATACATTGTCCCCCAACGATCTACACTGTACTTATTCACTCAATAACAATGTTGATGCCTGTTATTAGCAAATTAGAGTCAAGAATTTGATCATGTTTTTTAAAGAAAGGTATAAAATGAAAATCTCTGCTTACAAGCTGTTGTAGGGGCAGGGGTCTGGGGGTCAAGAGGCGTTGACACATCGGTGGTCTCCTTGTCCATTTCTCACACGGGAACAGAGAGCTGGGTGACAGCTCATCTCCGCTTACTGCCCCTGACACGGCCACTGTCAGTCAGCACCTCCAGTAAGTGATTGCCGGGCGTTACCTTACACGGACAGGAGTACCACTAAAAAGGGAGTTAGCACCTGTAACAGTTTAATATTTCCTGCTTGCACGAACCAATACTGTGTTAGACTCAGATGTGGGAGGTTCTTCAGGAACAAGCAGAGTTGATTGGCTTTATGGGACTCCAGCAGTTTAGTGCTTTGCTCACTAGTGTGTTTTTGTACTGTCAAGAACAGACTACATCAGATCAATGTTTGTTCATGTGCAGGAATACGTTTTAATTCATCATCCACCCATCCCTAAAAGCAACATACAAGTTAAACATTAAGCTGTATGTGCAGATAGACAGAGATGACTTTTCCAGGATGTGAACTCTATGCACTGGTAAACCAATAACTATGCGTGCATTCTAACCCTCTCTTTTAATCAATCTTAGACGCCACTAACTCAAAAGCAAAGCAAAACCACTTTGTCAATTCAGAGCACAATATCTCACCAGGTAGTGCAACGTTACTGCAGCTCTTTACAAACAACAAGATGGATGGCTGCATAAACCACTTTCAGTCATTAACTGCAGTATTTGACAAACTTATTTTTTATATTTAGAGTATTTATTTGCTAACATGGATGTGTGTGTACTGTTGTTAGTTGCGGAGAAAACAGAGCTTAAATCTAAACCTTGTCTGGTTAATTTATTTCATATAAATATATCAATAAAATTTGAATTTGTTATCTGATTAATTACAGGGTAGCTGGAGGATAATCACAATTAATCATGATCGACAGAATTTCACTTTTAAAACAAACTATTTCAAATTTTGAGTATACACTATTTTAAATGTTTTAATTATAAAATGACAGTAAGTAAGGTATTTGGGCCTAATTTTCTATGTTTATATTTTTAAACGACATATTTTTAACAGGGTGTACATACAGTAGGAATGGCAATAAACAAATATAATAACAAAGGTAACAATGGCTAAAAAAGCTGCAGTATCCATGTAAAATGCATCCAATAAACTACAATATCTGTTTATGTTACACCTGGATCCAGTTGGTAAGGTCGTGTGCAGTTAAGGAAAAGAAAGAGATCCGTCCTTTTAATAAGTAACACAGGCCGTTGGCTAGCTGCTATCGGACTTTTAATGAACCCGATGAATCAAAGTGTAAGATAATCCACTGGGTCACACAGAGAGCCAGACAGACAGACTACAACTGAGCCCAACCCCAAACGTGACTTCTAGGATACCGTGCAGAGTTACAACAAATACAAATAAGTACTTTCTTTTTACCCATTATTACATGTTTGAACATGTAACATGTAACAAAGTTCTGTTGACTTTCCAAAACACACACAAAAAAATTGCCATTACTGTTTATGTGGTCCAAATAAAAGTATTTTAAATAATTTGAATACAATTCTGTGATGGAATTGACTTAGAATATGTGATAAACCAAAGTTATTTTAACTCAAGGTTTTACAGTGGAACATTTAGCAGAGCTAACCAGGTCTATTAAAGAGTTGTCACACAACGTCGTTTCCATTTCCAGCTACTTTTTTCAGAGCACAAACTTTGCAAATGGTTGAACAAATTTCATACATTTTTCCACAGACATTTTTCCACCTGCTGGTCACTGGACACAGGAACAAAAGTAACAGTTTAACAGCCTCATGGAACAACACACACCAACAGCGAGAATGTCACAGACTGTCCTGGACTTTCTGTTTGAAAGTTGCATATTAGTGCTATGTGGATGGGTGCTATGCGTGGTGATGGACTTTAGGTATCTGTATGGTTTAGGTATCTGTATGCTAGTGTGAATGATTGTGTGTGAATAACGCCATCTTGTTAAATGTAAGTTGGGATGGCTTAAACTACCCGTTAACAAAAACAAAGCAGATATTTTACTGTTAATGTGTATGGTAACTACATTTATTCAATTCATTTTTTTTCTCTAAGGATTTGGGCCTTTTCAAAAGAATCCTAACTCATTTTGGTTGATGCACGTGCAGCGTTAAATTTTTCCAGTTCTTGTTGACATAGAGTGGTGAGGTAAAGGTTATGTACAGTTAATTAATGTGAAACGAGCTGCAACAAATTGAAAAATAGTCTGAAGGGAAAAATGCTTACGATCTCTTCACAGCTGACTGAGTCTTGGGCGCACGATCTCCAGTATCACATGTAATCAATGTACTTTTCTAGAAACCACAGATACGGGCTCACGTTTCTAAACCAAAATTAGATTATTTATTTACACGTCTACGGACAGATCAATGTGATAATGTTATAAAATTTTTGGGATGAATGAAACAATTAGAGAAAATGTACCGTTTAGATGCAAAGCTCATAAAAGTACCGTCTTCATCATCAAATTGGCAGCTGTGGCTTTAGGAGGTAGTCTCTTTGAACACGGTTTAATATATAAAATAATCTCCTCGACTCGTCATGTTTAGATAGATTTGATCACATCGTCATCAGTCCGACCACAGTTCAGCATTCAGAATTGATTTACAGTGTATTGTATACACAATGGAATAGAAATATAAGCCACGTCTGTTCCCCCTTTGTCCACTGGCTCAAAATTACCATCAATCTGGACTGCCACAGTGAAAGCTTGAACGGGCACAGGGTTTCGCTTACAGCGGCCCTGGCACACTGGCCTGCTGTTTTGTTCAATTATGTCACTGCAGTTCATCCAGTTAAGATCTTGGCAGATGAATATAACAAGAGTTTTCACAGATTTCTAACTAAAGTTCTGGTCTGTAGGCTGTAAGGCTTATCTCTCACAGGAGCTCCTAATTGGTTGAACTGGGATTGGACATGAACATGTACCCCAGGTGAATTTTACACACTGTTGTTTTTCATATACCCCCATCATATAACTTCTAAGACTTAACTAATTTAAACGGCTGAGTGTAGCCTCACAGACTTAGACACTGAACATGCTAAATCTCTTCGGTCAAAATGTTGGCGTTATGAGTCTGCAAGAAATACAGGGAAATCCACATGGACAGCTGCTAAATCCTGTGTTTTTTACAGGATTTATACGATGCACATCACTTATCTAAAAATGAGTGCAGAGCGGTGAAAATGATAGTGGTCGACGGCACTGTGGTGCAATTTGACAATTTTCAGTCAAGGCAACACTTGTCTTAAATGTAAAATAATAATTAAAAAAAAAAAAACAAAAAAAAAAAAAACAGTGGCGGTTTGGCCCCGAGGCAACGGCTCTGTCATTAGTGTGGAACCCCAGGGTTCACCTCCTGGGCAAGTTTGAATCCCAGTTAGGGCGGTTGGTCCCTTCCAGTGGACTCACCACCCGCAGGAAGGTTCAGGGGGCTTGGTACGGATGGAAAAACAAAAACTGTGACTTACACCATCAAGTACTGCCACATGACTTTGTTTGTCCAGTACAAGGGAGGGTGATTTTAGGTTAAGCATGAATTTAGGCCCAACAATTTAACCAACGACGCTTGTTCAGATCTCTCAGTCGATAAGGAAACCAACAACACCCTTCTTTACGCATCAGTTTAACTCAAAGGGAAGCAATCCATTAGACATGCTATCCATTCTCGTCTCTAGTTTCTTCCTCTGGAGACACTCTACCTCAACTCTTAACGTCACACTGTTTGTTCCCTAAGATTTATAGATATGCACCATGGGCAGGCTGACTGTGACGCTCGAGGCGGGGGAACAGAGACAGGCTGCAGAGGGCTGTCAAGCACACGACTGACAGCCAGCTGACAGCAGCTCCTGAGGTTTCAGTACCTGAGACAACCTGCTGAGGCACGGGCCGACCTGTCACCTTAGAAGGAGCAGTGTTCTCAACTTCTGCATGAACCCTGACAGGGACACATGTTTTGTAATATGCAAGATGATGTCACCATCATCATTAATAGGTTGAATTTATAAATACTACGCGGTGTCAGACGGCAGAGCCACAGGATCATATCATTAACATATAAATAGTCATTGTTACATTTTTTTAATAATGAACCCTTATAGTCGAAATATGGACTACACTAGATCACAACAAGTTTGTTTTGGTATCTACCTTGGAGACTTGGTCCTTTAAGTCCTGTGAATTGTGAGGATGGGTTCAAATGGACTAGACTTGTTTTTTAAGCACCTCTTACAGATTCTTGACTGGATTAAGATTAAGAGATGGTAATATCTTTAGTGTAGCACAACACAAGTTCATTTTTGATTGTGCATCAATAGGCAGTTCCTTCCTCCAACAAATCCCATTTGTAGACTCTACAACATTTTTTTTTTTTTTACCATCAGCTTATACCTCAACTCTATTTAAACAACAACCCTAACAAGTGTCTTGGAAACAGCTCATGTAAGGTCTATTTGCTTGGACAAAATAGTGTTTATATTAAAATCTAAAAAAATTCCATTAAAATCTATAATCACAGCCACAGTTTAAGACAAGATGACAAGGTTACACTGCTAGACTCAGGTGACCCTCTAAGGATGAAGCCTATAAACCATTTATGCAAATCAAGACGCTACAGCGTAAGAGAAGGCAAAGTGTGACGTTGTTGATTAACTGTTGTACCAACAAAAACACAATTTAAACACTAACAAGAAGACAAACACGAAAAATCATTTCCAATGTACGTCTCCTTGTGGACACATACAAGGACAAAATCAGCCCAAAGCAAAATAACATGATTATACACACATTTACTGTATGTAGCTGTAGTACAAACACTGCTGTCTCTTCCCAACAAAAATGTGACTATCGTATATATTTAATTCAATTCGACAAAACCACGTCATTTGATGAAAAATGGTGGTTCAATAGTGTAGTTGTTACCACGCCTGTCTGTAAAGCAAATAATTCCCAGAGGAATCACATACTTTGCTCCTCCATGGAGCAGCTTGTTGCAGCAGATCTGCTGTCAACATGAGAATTTCCCAAGTGTGGGATCAATACATTTCTAATAAAATTATTATTACAAGCTGTAGGCGACAGCTAGCATTTTATTAATAAGAAAGGGAAATTGAATTTATAACAATAGTAACACAGTAAGATACGGTAGTTCATAGTTTATTAGTGGCTTTTTCTGTGGAGTACACGTGAACGCAGTACGCACTCGATTAGATTGGAGTGAACCTACACTCAGCACCTCCTCACTCACACATCAACAACTGAACCCCAGCTCCAGGGTGGTCAGTCCTGTGACGGGCACTAGAGATAAGTGTGGCGAATACAGAAACAGATGTGTCATCTACTAAATTAAAAAAAAAGAGTCTGTTTAACTCTTATTAAAAAAAGTACCACACAAAGAGACCAAAGCTTGATTATTTCTGTCACTAAAAAGCAACCAGGAGGGACAAAGAAGGTACAGCACAGTAATCTGAGGCATTATGTAATTGCAGATTATTTTTTTCTTCAGTTTTGTTGTCTTGTGTAATAGATGTTAAACTTGGTGTAATATCAATCTGTAAGGATGATTGTTACAGTGTGAGTTGCTGTTCTTTTCTGCTTATGCTGGTTTATTCAATGCAACCTTTAACTATATTTACACAATTTGGATCAGCTCTATTGTCATCACAAAAATAAAGAATAAACAAACCAATGTTTTCAAGAGCTTTGTAAAAGAAATTAACCTGGTGTTAACATAGATTTTAGTAACTATTTAATTAAGAGGTTATCTCCAATATAATATACGAGAAAAAGTATATATTAAAGAACAGTCTAAATGTATTGTATGGAAAGGACCAAACACATTTAAAGCATCTATCCTAAGTTTAGTTTATCTTTACTCAACTTTGAAATACATCCAACACATTGGAAAACACATCTATTAAATCACGTTTGACGGGTTCCTCATCCGTTACTCTTTTCACTCTTACCTTCTTATTTATAGCGCAGCTGTGCTGAAGACGTCCATCACCTCTCACCGTCTGTCCACTGCACGTGCGACACAGAGATGGACTTTACCTTCAGCTGACCATCGCAGTTAACCCGACTCAGAGATGCTTCGGACTAAAGTGTAGGGAGGGAGGGAGGAGGGGCGAAGGGAGGGAGAGGGAAGAAAGGATATGCTGCCTTCAAGGTGTCCTTTATCCCTGCTGTGCGATCGTAGTAAAAATGAAAACCAAAAGAAACATTCTCGGTTAATTTACTGGAAAAGACACCTGGGACTTCAAAGTCAATTCGGGTTTCAAAACAAAGCAATTTCCTGTATATCTATCCAGAACAATAAAGTTAAACAATAAAACATTACACACACACACACACACATCCTTAACTGTTCTTGTAACTGTCAACTGCCACCACCAACTGTGTTTTGCTCGTAGCAAGCAAGCTAAACCTAAAAAGATGGATGAAGTATACACTTTATTGCACACACTATATTTTTTTATTCACACTCTGTTTAAAAAAACTACACAGCAAAAGCAAAATAAAAATAAAAACAATTAACCCATTTAATTCCCATGTTAAAGATGTTTAGAAATTAACTGACAGTGCATTCTGATCAGGCCCAAAGAGCAGAGTGGTGTTATTTAATGTTGTATACAGAGTGTGCAGAGATTAGTGTGTAATGCGAGTCTATGAGCTGGTTTTAACTGGTTTGACAACCACTGCGCTGTCAGTGAACTTGGTAGAGAAAAACTCGTTCATGAAACTATTCTTCAGCTGGTGCTTGAAGTGAACATATCTCACTCCAGGTCCGTATCCACAGAACACAAGCGACACCTGCAGGTCAACACAGGGACATGTAATAAGAAAACAAGCAGATGACTGGAGCGGTCAAATGGTCGAGACTCACCATTTTCCAGGTGTGTGAGTAATTGGTTCGGTCCTCTACGGGACTAACGTTGTGCTCAGCAATAATTGTGCTCTTGTCCGCTCCCAGTAACTTTACATGTAACTCGTAGATGTGGTCGTGGAGCTGACTCTCCTCATAGCTAAGGAAATAACATTTACAAAGTTAGTGCTGCATTTTTGTAAATCAATTTTAAGTATCAAGTCAGCAAAAATAGATAACCTTGATATTTTTTACATTACTTTTCATCATCTATTGTTTTCAAAATAAATCATCATCATCTGATTGGTATAAAAATAATATCCATTTAATTTTTAAAATAAACAACAGAAAAGTATACCTGTGTACTGTGGAATTAGGATGTATTAAATATGTAGTGGTTGGCTACATGTAGAGCAGCATGATTATATGTTTGAAATGTTGAGGGACTGATAATGTGCTGCTGGCCCTAGTTTAGGCAATTCCTGTTTTTCACTCTTTAAATAATCCAGAATTTTTTAATTATTATTATTTTTGCAAAGAGATACAAAAAGCACAGAGTTGCATCACGCATTGTTTATTTTGTGAGTCCGTATTTATGGAAAGTTTCTCGTAAATTAGGTGGATTATTGACTCACAAGTCTTGGATGAATATTTCTGGCTGAAAGTCATCCAATAGCTCCTCCCACAGTCCCTCAGCCTTCAGGTCCACAGTCTGTTCCATGGAGAACCAGCTAAAGACGACGGTGACAACAAAAGACACAGCAGAGCTAGAACCAGGTTTTACACAATATTTCTGTGTTGTCATTATTTAAACCTGTGTATGAAATACATATCCTTCAGTAGCACCTACCTGTACCGAGGCATTTCACAGATCACAGCACCCTGTGGGATGCCACTCATATCATAGGGGAGGACCTCAGTGCTTGTGGTCCAGCCACTGAAGTCACCTAAACATTATGAGATGTAATTAGTTGAACACGTTTGTTTAACAGGTCATAGAACCCAATATGTGCACATCAATATACAGTTAACTGTGACTTTCAAGAACAAATGAACATTTGTGTCTGTCACCATCAGGTTGAAACTGTGGGGGTCCACGTGTCGGCATATCAGGTAGCTCAGGTTCAGGTGGAGGGTCATCTTTACTCAGGCCTGTGTCAGGGATAAAACAGAGGAAGAGCCTGGAAGGTAACACTCCTAATGAAGTCACTGAAAAGTCTGCTTTCAAAGACTGAGAATATAGTGGATCTCTCTGATAGGGACACTGGGTGTGTCACTCGCACACTAAAGCCATTAATCAGCAGCTCACTGATCTTATATCTGCACAGAGACATGCTTTTGGTCTCAGTCTGAAGAGTCTAAAGTTTTACATTGTCTTTAACCTAAAACTAACCTAAATTTCACATAGCATAACATTTCCTTTTATTTTGACTTATAAAAATATTCAAATGTATGCAGCTGTTATATTCTATTGTACCTTAAGCCTGGCAAATTTCAAAATAATTCAAATCAAAATAAATACATGCAGATTAGAAGTCCACTATCTTTTTTGAATCTATTGTACTTTGCACAGTAGAATAGAATATGTACTGAATATAGTGTGGATATTGTTCTTCTTGGGTTTTACGGTAATTCTATTTCTACCACATCTTTGTCTAAACTAATGCAATCTCATACATTGATTACATAATTAACTGGCAGTTAAGTGGTGTTCCTCTTTAGTGAATGTTTCTGAACATTGTGGTGTTTGTTTTAGGTAAGGTTTGCTTAGTGGTGGCCTGTAACATTCGACTTTTTCACCGCATGTATGAATTTGTTGAGAATGTTTTTTCCAAAGAAAATTGAATAAACGTTACTTACAGTACAAACACCTCATAAAAAAGTAAACTATTGCATCAACAATGAAACATTCTTCTTAGAAACGGCAATAGAGTCAATACACCAGCAAACATGGGAAAGTGGGTATCGGCTGTGTTAACTTTTCTACAACACATTACTATTGAGCAGTGGTTAACATTTATTTTTATTTTGTAGACGCTATTTGTAGCGCTATTGAAATATTTAACTGAACAGTTTAAACTGACTAAACTAGAGGTTTTGAAGGAAGTTGTGATGCCGTTTTAAACAATTAATTTTTGGGGGGGACATGGGGCAGTACGGTGGTATCATTGCCGACATAAATAATTTTAACTGGTGTTTTATTTAAACGAGTCTTTTTGCAGCCATTGGAATACGCCACAGTGTTACACCGACACTTCCGGTTCACTTCCTGGTCTAAACTTCTACAATGCAATGGCTCGTTCCCTTTTTAAATGTTCGTTAACAGACATTAAAACAATATAGAAAAGCCAACAACAGCGATGTGTTACCAAAAGGCGCAGTGTTCCGCAGTAAATTCTTGCCGAGAGGCTTCTTCTCGTAGACGGACTTCCAGTCCACAGAGTCGGGTAGCGGTGCTCCCTGTAGATTCCATTCAGTCTCACACTTCTCCTTCCACTCAGACATGATGAAGACTGACTCACCCCTGTAAAGAACTGCAGAAGTCCCAGAACTGTTTATTCATCTACTGTGTACTTTACTGCACCACACCCTGCTGTTGTAATCTGTTCTTCGGCCTCTTAAAGATACAGTTTTATTAAAAGGTATCGGGTTTTTGAGAATTTTTGCACAAACACCATTTGTATATAAATCCCATGAGACATTTATATCGCTCAGTATATGAGTACAAATAGACGTGATTTACCATATTTCATTTCTTAATACTTAACACTACAACATTTACAGTATATTACACAGAAGAGCCTGCCCTTGTGAATGAAGCCAAAGCCTCAAAATGTGCACTAATGTCAGAAATCAAGTGTGAAGTAGCTTAAATTTACACGAATTCTTAAAAAACAAACAAACAAAAAAACTAGTCATGCCCAAACCCAGTAAATTAGGCAGGTAAAGGAAGGTAAACCCCACTAGAAGAACAAAGAATTACCATCAACAGTGTCTTATTTGACGTGTTATTTACCTGAACAACAGGTCCAAAGTGTTGGATTTATAAGAAAATAACTGGGGCAGTGAAATTATTATTCTTGACACAGATATATGTATATATGTATAAATTCTTCTTTCTCTATCAAACCAAGATGTTTTTAAAGGATTGAAAAGTGTCACACAAGTTTTGTTGAATATGTATGATACATGAGACAATGCAACCTGCAATATTTATAAACATAAACAACATGGAATTATTTTTTCCACAAATGGAAGCAGGAAATGTTACATACATTACATAATATTTTTTTTCCTTCCAGGACAACACCGATTGGTCCTGGTTAAAGAAGACATCTCTGAGCATCTGGCTATAAGAGAAATAAATACTGCAATCAAAGTCATGTGCCGTGCCCACTTAGGGAACCATTACCTTAGAGATACAGCAACAGCACTGGAGCACGTCCAGGATCTGAACTGCCTGAAAAGGCTTGCTGGGAAAAAAGTGTGGGAAAGAAACGCTATAATAATTGTGAAACTGCTACCAAAAATGCCTAGGGCTGAGGATCAACCAACCCTTCACTTGATTAACCAAAGACTATACTAACAACTAAAGTAAACATAGGGTTGGTTATTTTTCCTTTTTTTTTCATTATACAGTATTTTACTATATATGTTGTTGTTGTATATATGTTCCTGTTATTCAGGAGGCTTTGATTTTCTGTCATTTATACAAAGATTTATATCATGTTATCAGTCCTTGACATCATGGCACTTGTAAGTTGACCACTGTGTTTGCTATATTACACCTATCACAGAAAACCATGGCAAACCAGCAGCTTTGATAAATGTTGGATTGGGAAATGTATATGTAGAATGAATGTATGAGCAATAATTCACGATGACATATCTCTGTCTGACAAACCACACCTGTCTGTAGTCCAAAGTTCTAGTTATAAAAGCATTTCCATAGTTTCCTGCATGTACAACATTTCAAGAAAACTGATAAGAGCCAGTAGACAACAAGTAGCAAGGCGAGTTGTGGTATCTGAAACTATTTACGCAAGGGAACCAATACATTTATTTATGGTTAAACTGTTTATTATTAATAGACTTATAAAGCACTGCAGTGGTTTGAACATAGCACTCAAGAAGCGGGGACTTGAGCAATGATTGTTAAAAATGTGTGTAGTCTGCTGTTGGACATTAGGGGGAGTTCTCCCTTCATGCTCCAGTCATGGTTGTTTAATTTATGTCCTATTCCATAGACAGTATGGATCTGTCATTGGAGACCCCAATAGTCCTGGTGTCTTGGTGAAACTGCACATTAGCACAATCGAGAAGCAGTTAAAAAAACAAATATTTATAATTATGAATTATTAAAACTCTTTGGCATTTTTAATGGTGCAAAATGAGGCCTGTCAGTATCATGAGAAAAACCTGTGTATCTTTGTCATTTTAATTTAACCCTTGTATCTATGGTGCCGATAGATTTTCTGACTACCTTATGTCTGGGTTTAGTTATTCTCAGGTAACAATAACTGTTCAACAAGCTGTACATACAGTAGTGATGGGTCTCACGTTCTAAGCTTTATTACTGAATAAACAGTTGCTAATTTGACAGACAAAACCTCTATAAAAATACAGATTTGGGGTTTTTTCTTTGCGTTTTTTTTAAGAAACTTCAACAACTGTACAAGAAACTGTACAAACTTTTCTGAAAATGTTGTTTACGGATGACTGTAATCTTACATATCTAAAAAGCTATCTAAAAAGAAATTGCCTATGTGTGTGTATTTGTTGAATGAACTTTCTGTACTCCTCAGACACATCTGTTAAAAGCAGCTGATACAGACTGAATATAGAGCACCGAGTCTGATGAACAGTTCAGCTGCCAATGACATAAGAAACAGCGGAAGCAGAGAGCAGGGGGTTCACACTTGGTAGAGAGCCAGAGAAACTTCAGAGGGAGGCAGACACTATGTCTGAAGATTGCGACTGGTTTGTTATTAGCTCTGAATTGTAGCATCGGTGCATGTAAATGTAGTTAAACATGCCACACTGTCTGTTGAATAGGTCCCTTGAGCTACACAGGGAGAGGAATATAAGATTATGTAACAGTTATGTGAGTGCAATAGTCAGCTGATGGCCATGTGTTACTGTATAGACAGGTGTGTATGAAATGCTTGGTACTAGTTGCCCAGAATTATTCAAATACATCCCAACAGTCACATGACAGGTGTTCATGGACAGTAATCTTTTTATATGGATTTTTAAAATATACCAGCACTACTTTACAGTATATGTATATGTTTACATATATAGAGATTACAGACATACAGTCTTCTACACCTGCCATTTTCCCTTTGCATTTGTTCATCAGTGGGATAATGTTGTGGCCCTGACTTTACCAAGAGAAGTAGGTGGCAGTTTTACAGGGAAGGATGCTTCTTTAAAAGGTGAGATGCATCACCTCCTCCTAGTCTTTTAGCAGTACAGTATGTATGAGAGTATAAAACAATCTGATCGGTATGTTGTCATTAAAGTGAAAAGACAGAGGTCACGGAGTACACAACGGAAAAAAAAACCTGAAATCTGAACACTAGCTTTACACTCCATATATATATATATGTATATTTATATACATACCTACTGGCTCTGAGCCAGACACAGATGCATGTTACACTGAAAAGTTCACCATGGTATTTGCAGATATATCACATGTGAAGTCATTAATGGGCACATGGACACATGCTGTAGCAGAATGTCCTGTCCTTCATTCTTTCTGATGTATACATGTGAGGACCAAGTGACTTGATTTTCATTATATGACTTGGGTAAACAACAAAAATTTTAATTACTATTTGTTAATACAGTTATTCACACTCACACCTTAGGTCAAGATGTTTAGGCTGTGGAATAAAAATCAGGTTTCTGGTGAAGCAAAATGTTGTCCAATCAGAGAAGAGTTATTGTAAGGTTGGAGCTCTTAGGGATTTAATTCAATTTAATTTAACATATAAAACTTTTGGGAAACACTTCAGGAAGAATGTTCTTGGGTAGGAAAGAAGAATGTAACAGGTTGGTCCTCAACTGTACATGACACGCTGATACAACCATTATCAGCTATAGTGCATTGTGTGGTGTATTTTTGCCCAGTTAATCCCATTGAGAAGTCCACGTCAAGTGCACTGGCACATTGCAGCAGCACCTGCATAAAAGTCATTGTGATGAAAGACAAATGGCATCATGCTGTCCTGACTTCACCCTCTGTTTTTATTTAGAATGGAATTTTGCTCTGATGCAAACAATAACAAGAACAATTCAGGGTTTTTGTACAAGTAACCTTTAATTTATTTAGCCATCTTATATTTAAAATCTGAAGATCATGGGAGAAAATTGCATTTGTTTACCATTCACTGCAAAATATCCACACATCTACAAAATTTTTGTTTTTTTGATAATAATATTTTTTATGCAATGTTGGGGTCTTTTTTTGCAGTAGGTTTCTCCAAAGGTAAGAGAGGTCCAGTCAAGTTTGAGATTGATGGAGAACTGACTCGATGAAATTGAATCAGGGTCAAGGGTGGGCGGGGGCTCCTGCTTGACAGGAACCAGCCAACTTGGTATAAATATAGCTTCCCCTCTGACCACACTATGTACACGTGACCCCCAGGGTAGGAGTGACCTGCAGCACTTCACCATGCTCTGCAGCTCAGTACCCCACCATAGTTTAGTTAAACCTAAATAATCCTACTTTCTACCTGCAAGATAATTCATATTAGTTTTTTTTCTTAGCAGTGATGCAGTGTTTTGGACAAAACATATTCTTCCACTGAAACCCCTAGAGAGGGAGCTCATGCACCACAAAGACTGCAAGAATGTTCATGTACAGCTCACCAAAAAACAGTAACCATTCTTTTAGCCATGGCAAGATTAATTTCAATTAAAATCTTTATATTTGGAAATTTGCACCTGTGAGAGGTGTCAACCCATTTTCTCCAACTGTATGTTGTGTTGTGTAACCATCTCACAGCAACTTCTCTATAGACAGGTGTGAGAGACGTGCTTGAAGTTGTCGACCATAAAGGTGTTATTTATAGATGCTTGTTACGTCATCGTGAGGAGTTGCCAAAAACACAATGTTACCTTTGCAGTGACTGAAAGGTGGTTCATATGAATGTAACAGTTGACTGGTTTCACTGACTCCAGCCCAAGGAGGGAAATGTGACATTTATACTCTTCCCGGTCTCTTCCAGCCAATAGTAGAGTGTTCCATGGCACACAGCTGCAGCCCGACACAGTGCTATTCTGACACAGGTCAGTGCAGTTGGCACAGATTCCTTGGCAAGGGTCACACTGTATAAGTTTCAAGAAAGTGTTCAGGGATGTCAAAAGTGTGTGAGCTTCTTCGAGCCACTGTGCAGAGTAGAAGACGCGTTTTAAACGGTTGGTGTTGGATGGAGAAACAAATTAAACAAAACAAATATAGAACAAAATAATCACATGATTTCACACACACATGAGCTTCTATTAGGGCTGGCTGAGGAAATATCTCAGCCAGAAAAGCCCTGAATACAAAATAAATTAGATTGCAGATGGATACAGATAAATACTCTCAATACAAATCTGTGCAAGAACAGAAAAACCTGTTTGCATGCTCCCAGTTGCACAACCAAAATCAAGGATAGAGAACAATGACTTCAGCATTCAACTAAAGCCCAAGGTGTGACTCGTTTGACTGAATGTTGTGCTAGGATTTTACTGCCACAGCCTGCAGTACCATGTGGTGAACAGTGTCACAAGAAGAGTGCATCATATCACCATACGCCCTGTTGCATAACTGTTCCAGTGCGGTATCACTGAATTGCTCTGGGTGAAATATCAGCATTTGACGCCCCAACAGTGAGTGATTCTATTTCCAAATCAAATCTGGAGCACTCTATTGTACAGTAGAAAAACTGCAATACTCGAATAAATTTTACTTCTGTATTAGGCTTGCAGAATAAAATGGACTAAATGACAGGTTTTGGCCACTTTCTTTTTAATATAGTTGTTGTCCCTATAAATGTAGTAAAAATAAAAAAGGGAAGATGGAAAATGGAAGAAAGAATTGAATGTGTTAACTTGGACACAGACTAATTTGGTCTCCTCTCACATGGAGGACAGGCAGCAGACAGCTGTGTAACAGGAGACCCGGTTTAAATTCAGGGCAAGGGCAGACTGACCAGCGAACACTCTTCCCTCACACAACTTTGCACTGTGTCTTTCAGTGGCAAACAAAAAAAGAAGAAAACTACAGGCTAGAGAACACATGCAACATGAGCACAAATCAATGTATGTTGCATTTAATGCAGAATAAGCAAAGACTGGCAGTGATTGTTCTGTGTGGGTGCCTGTTTGAGTATGTGTGTTTGTTAGAGGACGTGCAAATGACAGGTGGTGCGGTGCCAGTTCTGCATATGCAACTTGCAGTAACACATTTTTACAACAAAATTTGTTATTGCATTTGAAATGCAACGCACTGCAGGAATGAAATCAAAACCTCAGGAGGCGCTCTAATTGCTGATTCTGACAAAATTCCTCCCAGCTTTTTCGTACTGATAGAGAATACAGTAAAGAGGAGGTTTGTGTGCAGAGGAAGCTGGGACCTCCCAGAGAAAAGGTGGGGATCACCCTGGCTCCCATTTGGTACAGTGTCTGTAACAATCCTTCAACATTATAATTCCATAAGAATCCATAAGAATTTAAAACAACTTTCCAATAACAGAATATTGCTTTAACTCTCTATAGTCAAATTCTGATTGAAATTATTCACTGTATGTGAATCATATTGGTCACAGACTTGTCCCTGTGGCCTGTGCAGGGTTATAAAATTAGTCTTAAAGACAACTGGAGACATGGGAGATATGAGAAATATGTCCAAAAAAATCATCTTAATATTCAATACTGGATTTATTTTGCACAAAAAACCAGTCTGAATGAAGGGCGCTAATGAAGTCAAAGTCAAACCAGCTTGCATCCCCAGCATTCCGAGAGGATCACAGTATTCCCCAATGAAGGGTCTGTTTATCGTAAGTGGTATGACCTGGACTCAGACCATGTTATGGCTGGTTTGATGTACTTTTCTCCATAGGTCAAGCAGGGACAAAAGTGCAGGGGTGACTGGAGTCCAAATACTGTACACGCACAAAATGAACAAATTACTACCAACATATAAAAACACAAGAAAATGGGATTGAATTAGATGGCTTTAACCTGTGATTCATTTTAATAATAACATCATTATCATCAACAACAATAATAATAATTATAATAATAATAATGCCTCAAATATTTCTAAAAAAATATATAGGTTAGGATTATAGGTTATAATTCCACTTGCAAAACAAGGACTGAAAGTGTATTAAAAAAGACAAGAGGACCATGTGGCACTGTTATAAATTCATCAGTTGGTTTATGTTTTACACACATATGTAGGTCAATTAAAACACTTTGAGCCTCTGTTTAATCTATTATTTTTTTTGTTACTTTTGGAGAACGCAGAAGCACTTTCCCAGATTTTTTGATTATTTGGTTTGAAGACCAATAACTAACATTCACACCTGACACAAAGACAAAGCTAACTCTAAGCTCCATTGAATGTTTTGGCAAAAGAGAAGTCCAGTTACTTTGACTACACCCCACACCCACCTTTATGACCCTGCACCCCATCGGATACTCCTGTAGTCCTGCTGGTACTATGTATGGGCCAAAGGGGGAGGTGTGGGGTGGAAAGGGTACAGCTGCAGTGCCCGTCTTGAATGACAGAGATGTAAACGTGTCCCTTTCATAAACTGTTAAGAGTGTCATTTAATTCGCTCTGGCCAATGAGGTTGCGGCAGGCACTAAAATGGCCAAACCAATGGCTGAGTGCGGGTCTAGTATATAAACGGGGAGCAGACACCTCCAGACTTGGGTGACCCCTATTTTGGCTGTGGTGAACAGACTCTGATCCCAAGGACTGTTACCTCTGTTCTTGTCCAGTGTGAAGGTAAAATATTTTACATTGAAGATTTGTTTGGAAGACAAAGAAAAATGGAATGCAGACTGACTAATATAGGGTGTGGGCCTTATATAATTGGAGAACCTTCTCAACATTTAAAATGATAAAAATACAAAAGGATGACTTTTAGTAATAAATGGTTTGGAGCCTTAACTACTATATGGGCATAACATTATGGAGGAAATCCATTGTTGGGTATTAGATGTCTTTGTTTTTGTCACATTAATATCATAAAAAATCACGCACTTGTTTGCAACTGTTGCATTTAAAATGTTTTGCCATGTAGACAGGAGGCTTTAATGTTTTGTTTCTTAAGAAAGGATTTTAATGTTATTTTAATGTTAAGAAAATTATGATAAATGATATGATAATTGAAAATTATTGCAAATTGTCAATCGCTGCATGTCATTGCACATTTTATTTGGCTCCCATTCATTTAATCAGACATGTAAAAGAAAGAATTGAGGGCTTCATGTTACAGTGTGAAGGACAGAGTGTGGGGAAGTCTCTGCAACTTCTCAGTCACAAGTTCTGCATAGTGACAACTCTAAGTGGAATATTCACTCTGTGTGCAGACACAGTAGTGTTATATAAAGACTACAAAGAACTCTTCGTGTGTGTGTATGTGTTAACATGCAAACTAACAGAGTGGACACACTGAATGAGTTGGTCAAGGAAATTGAAACGCTAGTTCTGCTAAAGGCTTTTTAAAGCCAGGCTCCTGGGTCACATGTGCTAAGGCCTAAAATAGCCAGCCACACCTTCTTTCCTGCTGCTCTATTTCAACTGGACATTTGAGCTTCACAGAATGGAGTGACACTTGTTACCAGCATTCCTCTGCCAACACAGCTAAAACTCTGCAGCTGTTTGCAGAATGTCCCTGCCTTTAAATGCTGGAGAATCCAGGTTAAAATTTTGACCTGAAGAAGAGATATTTCATTTGAATGAACCACTTTATGATTCCCCGTGGTGATTGGTTTTTTTTTTTTTTTTTTGGTTTTTTTTTTCTGCAGTGTTAGAAAGCCAAGATGCCTTTCGGTAACACACACAACAACTTCAAGCTCAACTACACAGTGGAGGATGAGTACCCTGACTTGAGCAAGCATAATAACCATATGGCCCAGGAGCTGACCAAGGAAATTTATGGCAAGTTGAGGGACAAGCAGACACCCAGTGGCTACACCCTGGATGATGTCATCCAGACTGGTATTGACAACCCTGGTAAGGCTCAAACAAACGACAATCGAGAACAATTCCAATTTGATTCTTCAAATCAACCATTTACATTCTAGTCCACTCATCTTCTAATTTCTGCCCCCTACAGGTCACCCCTTCATCATGACTGTTGGCTGCGTTGCTGGTGATGAGGAGTCCTATGAGGTCTTCAAGGATCTGCTGGACCCCGTCATCTGCGCCCGTCATGGTGGATACAAGGCAACTGACATGCACAAGACCGACCTGAACTTCGAGAACCTGAAGGTGCAGTGATATTCTTCTTTTGGTACAGAGCCAAAAGATAAAAGATAATAAAGCAGTCATTATATTTGGTTGATTTGACATTTTTCATCAATCAGACTGTGTTTATTGTTATCTTGTCAGGGTGGTGACGACCTGGACCCCAACTATGTTCTGTCCAGCCGTGTCCGTACCGGCCGCAGCATCAAGGGATTCACCCTGCCCCCCCACAACAGCCGTGGCGAGCGCAGACTGATTGAGAAGCTGTCCGTTGAGGGTAAGATTTGTGGTTAACTGTGAATAATATGTACACAGTAGAAACACAAAGCATTCTGACTGTATGTTTATCTCTATAGCTCTGACCAGCCTGGATGGTGAGTTCAAGGGAAAGTACTACCCCCTGAAGTCCATGACTGATGCCGAGCAGGAGCAGCTGATCGCTGATCACTTCCTGTTTGACAAGCCCGTCTCCCCCCTGCTGACCTGCGCTGGAATGGCCCGTGACTGGCCCGATGGCAGAGGCATCTGGTGAGTATGAACCCGGATTGAACCAGAATCCATTTGTGTTCAATTATTTATCAGTGTCGTGTCAGTGTGTTATTTAACCCACGTCAATGCTTGATAGGCACAACAACGAAAAGTCCTTCCTGGTCTGGGTGAACGAGGAGGATCACCTGCGTGTCATCTCCATGCAGAAGGGTGGCAACATGAGGGAGGTCTTCAGGCGTTTCTGCGTTGGCCTGCAGAAGGTATAAGTCAAAACAAACAATGATTTGACAGTGTCCAAGAAGTGCATACTCACTTCTTCTGAAAGTTCCTCCGACTCAACTTGTTTCTCCCTTCAGATTGAGGAGATCTTCAAGAAGCACGGCCATGGCTTCATGTGGAACCAGCATCTTGGCTACATCCTGACCTGCCCCTCCAACCTGGGCACTGGCCTGCGTGGTGGTGTCCACGTCAAGCTGCCCAAGCTGAGCACACACGCCAAGTTCGACGAGATCCTCACCAGGCTGCGTCTGCAGAAGCGTGGCACAGGTATGCACATCTCACTGAACGTCTGGGGCATCAGCAGCCGTTAATTGCAATGTGTCCCATATTTATCACACTCTACTGTGCTCTCTACAGGTGGTGTGGACACTGCCTCCGTCGGTGGTGTGTTTGACATCTCCAATGCCGACCGTCTGGGCTCCTCTGAGGTGGATCAGGTCCAGCTGGTGGTTGATGGTGTCAAGCTGATGGTTGAGATGGAGAAGAAGCTGGAGAAGGGAGAAGCCATCGACAGCATGATCCCTGCCCAGAAGTAGAGCAGGACAATCAAATGCATTTCTCGTGACCATTCATGTGCAATCGAGCCAGCTGATGGGCATGCAGAGGAAACAGCTGCTCACCTAGAGACTCTTGCCTCTGCTCACCTCCTTTTTTCTCCTTCAACTTTTCCCCCTGTTTTCTCTGTCCTTCGTCCTTTTTTCACGTTCTCCTGTGTTGGTTGGTAACATCCTGGGATCAGCCTCCACTGAGCTGGGCTCGCCTGGCAGACGTGGCATCACACACTTTTTATTACAAAGAGTAATGAAAACAAAACCTGTTCATATTTCTCAATAAAAAGTGCCCCATTAAACAAGTGTCTCCTGGCCTGTGATTAATCAGCAGAAAACAGAAAGAACACAACATCAAAGCTGCAATACTGACACAATATAGTACCTAAGAATAAAAAACTAATGTTTGAATTCCTGAAATAAACATGAAAACAACATGCTCACAGAAAGAATTTGAAGACACGTGTGATGGTGCATGGGCTGCCACTAGGGGGTGTAAATAAAGTTTCTTTGTAAAACTGAAAATCAAAAGTTAAAAATTAATTCATACATAAATGCAAGATATAAATGTGTGTGGTTGTGTTATAGGAGTGTTCTGGTCAGTTGAGCTGATTAAACATGCTGAATGAGTGAGAAGTTTGTAGCCTTTATTGTTTTCGATGGTGTGAAGAAATAAGAGCGCCATTTCCCCACACCATCGTCCACTTGTAGCACCTTAAAAAATACATCACTAGTGCAATTTTGTGAAAAAATGAAAATAAAAAAATAGATGAAAATAAGACATCTTATTCTTTCTGTGTGGCCCAAATACCGAAGCATCCACGGCCTGGTACTGGTCTTCTGCTCGGTGGTTGGGGGATACCTGTGTTAGGCAAAAGATTTAAAATGACTAAAGGAACAACTAAAAGGTACCTTGGTACTGTGGGTTTCTCCTTCTATTAATAATAATAATACATATACAATAACATTCATTTTCATTGACAGTTGGTCTAAATATCAACACAAATGGTTGTTTCTAATCTATAGACGGCCTTTCATTCCACTGTGTTCACCACATTAGCTTGTTGACGGCTAGTATTTGCTACAGCTCCATCTTGGGATCCTTATTAACATATTCCTCATAAGACTTCACATGGAAGGACGATACGTCTTCACAAAGCTGAACTTAAACTGTGCGTGGTGTTCATGGAGTATAGATATCATGTTTGAATTCTAAAACAGAAATACAAAATGAAAGATAAATGCCAACATCAGTGAATTTTATTAATCTTTAGCTCCATAATCTCAACCAGAATACCAGAATGACGCAATCTCAGTTTACAGTTTCTTTCTAAGGGGAAGGGATTAACCAGTAGAGCAGGGTAAGATCACTCATACAGTTAGAACTGTGTGTTAATCTGTGCCTTTTGCATATAACAAAAACCATTCCCGTAATCTGTTCTGAAATGACAAGGTAGGTTAAATACTGAGCCCCGAAGGGATATAATACTGTACCATTCACCAAATAAACTAGACCAGCAACACACTGTCCCACACAGGTAAAAACAACAACAAAAAAATTATTTCAATCATTTTTCACAGTAGATGTTCACCTTAAGACACTGCTTATATTTTGAACTGAGCATGTTTAAACCCCAATCATTTCCAGTGAAATGTTTGTAGGCCTGATTTATAATTGCTATCAGGAGACAGCAGCGTCACATTTCTATGGCTTTGATGCAACACAGGGCTTTTCAGTGGCCGGGGACTAATTGTTATTTTAGTCGATCCACTGTAGAACTTTTTGTTTTTTCGAACACTCTCTGTTTTCATACATTTCATGGCATATGTAAATACATCAAGGAACTCACAATCTGGAACATACTGACTTTCTGTCTTAGTCAACCCGGAAGGACGTGATTCAACTTTACCCAAACCGTCCTGTTTGTTTTGGTGAGAGTGGAACCGATGCTACATTTGGCACCATTTCCTTTACATCCTGTGTCTGACGTAGCGTCTTACCCAGGTGAGCGTTTAGTTTCATTTTTACCCTAATACCCAAACTCTGAAGTCATGCAGGATGGTCTTGCTCCCCACTGTCACTGGCAGAAACTGCTTTAGACTAGAATTACTTTCCCTGCTCTAGCTATAAATAAACCTTGAGCTCTAAGATATATACTATATTCATATGTTTTATATACAGCCATCATCTGACTGATATAAATCCTGTTTTTTAATGATATTATTCTAAAAAATAAATAAAGTACCTGTGCAAATATCCACAAATTTAAGTGTTTCACATTTAAGACATTGGCGCCCTCCAGTGGTTAGTACTGGGCAATACCTATACAGGTACACTGGAAGGAGCTGATTCAAGTCAAAGCAAAATGCATTGAGGTCTATATTACCTAATGCTAATATACACCACAATGAGAAATGTCCAACGAGAGGACAACAACAGACCCACAGTGTTTCTGCTTCTCACCCTGAGGAAGACGAGGACGGGTCAGAACCGCCCCCTCCCCCTGCTGGGCTTTATGAAGCAGTGCACACCAAACAGGAACCATGAAGATGCTGTACATGGATATACAACATAAAAGTGTGGGGGGATGATCCCTGTGAGGTCAACAGGACGTCTGACAAAGAGCAGAGGACAGCTGATTGTGAGGACAGACCTATGTACCTATGTATGAGGACAGGTGAAAATGGAGTCCCTGTTAAATTTAGAAATAGAGGGTTTTTCTTCAGTGGGGAAGAAAGCAGGGGAGTGGGAGGCTGCTCTAGGGGTCACAACTGAGACAATTTCAACGGTAAATTAGCAGCCAAACAACATGATGCGTTACCTACATAAATACTCATACTGTATGCTATTGAATCAAAACAGTCATGGACAATAGAAAGCTTATTTTCACATGTACTTTGAAAAAGGAGCCCAGGGACATTGACTGTGAAGGCAATGTATGAAACTGTGTGGACAGTGGCGTCCACACTGCCTTCATTGTGGCCTCTCCACTGAACACTCAAACTTAGTCCGCAGTCACTAACGAGCAGACCAGATTACAAACTGTGCCACAATAAGAGGAGGGTGAATATTCAGAAAAGCCGTGTTTCTGTTTTCTGGTGATCTCAGAGGTTTCACTCCTTGGGTGCACAGGGTTTTATCCTGTGGACATACTGACATGATGACTGAGGCAAAAATCACATGGCACAAAATAGAAGCAAAGCTTTGCACTGCACCGGAATGACGTCACACAGTGTCTCTTGTTGTGTGCGAGGATCCTGACTGACTGTGGCTCACCTTTGCTTTTTAATTGCCCCAAAAGTGTTTTTAACACTTGAGGGCTTGAAGTTAGAAAGGTTTTCTCAGGTACGAGTCACAGCTGTTGTGTCTTCAGGGTGAAGTGAAGAAAGATGGAGGATGGCAAATTTATAAAAATTAACAAAACAGATTTTCTCACTAAACAGAACTGACAGGTCATTAAACCAGCCAATCAGGGAGTAGAATGAAAGCTCCTCTTTTTTGGTCGTTATGCTAAATTAATTACGGTAATTATAAAATGTAAAATACCATAATACCACCTTCAATAATTTATTTTATTTGTATGTAATTATTGATTCTATTTTTTAAATATCAGAACAGAACTATATCAGAACTGCATCGCCTTGTTTTAACATTAATCAATTTAGACCTTCTGGCTGTTCACACCTGCAGTTGAATAACAAAATTGATACTTGTAAAAAGTCCTGGTGTTTTTACATTGACACCATCGTATTGGACTAAAGACTGTAGGTATAAGAACAACATACTGCCAGACTTCAATAGACGTGTATAGACTGAACCGTTTTGCAACCCGTAGAAAAATAACATTCTATTAGGGGTTATGTGCTATTGATTCAAGAGTTTTAACCTACCAGGGACTTAGGATGTTCAAACATCTCATTGCTCCAGTTTTGTTTCTCAGCTGATTTGTTAGCATCCTTTACACTCTTTGTACTTTGTCTTTAACATGAAATCATGTGATGTCTTATAGTATAGTTGGGTTTTGATGCTAATGTTCTCTAGATAGTCTAGAGAACATTAGGAGTCAGATACAAAAAGATACATCTTTTTCAAGAGGATCCTGGCAACTGCTTGATGTGCACCAAGGTGTGGACGGTAGCATTCACCACTCCAGCAGATCAACTGCACATCTATGAATTGTTAACTAAAGTAAACATGAAAATGCAAACACACCCTAAGTTTCGCTTCTTCACTACAAACAGCATATTTCCTCATGTTCTTTACGATCCTCTTCTGTCTCATTAGGAAACTAATGAGATTGATGTTACAGACTAATCCGTCTCTGATTGGCTTATGTCTTCTAGCCGCTGATTGGACAATTCAAATGCCTGTCATTGCCGCTCCCTCACTGACTTTAATCCAGTGCAGCCATCTCTGTTTTATGAACATGGATTAGAGTGATGCAGCCCTCTGCAGCTGCTAGTCTCTTTGCTAACATGAATTTTGTGCATCTTTTTATCCACAGGTGATGACAAGTCAGCAGGTAGTCGCTGAGAGGTGAATAAATGTACCTGACCGTAACATACAAAATAACATTTAAAAAAGGAATTGTCTTGTCAATGAGGTCCACTACACTAGGACCGGTGCTTTTCCTGTAGTGGTGAAAGTGACGATGGGTTAAAACAATGATCAGAGCAATAAATAGGAAAATTAAGAGTCATTATGGCTAGAGTAGCAATAAAAATATTCTGCTAGATTCCATCTGATCCATGTCCAGTGGCTGCAGCAGCTCAGTAGAGAAGTTGTGAAGTGCCTCAGTTGTGAATGTGGGTGCCTCAGTCTGTGTGACTTCACAGGTCTGGTGTGGATGTGTGTGAGTGTGAGTGTGTGTGCGCGTGTGTATGTGTGTGTGGGCACTCATGTTAGTGTGGTGCAAGAGAAGGTTAGATATGAAAAGACAGAAGGAGAAGTCTTTTCTCTCGGGTCCAGCCCCTCACCCCTTCATGGATTTGTTTTCTTCTTTTATTTTGTCCCCTCTCTATTTGCACAACACACACAAACACACACACACATCAACACAAAACACACACTCGTATGCAAACAGACCCTCTGTTCAAAGTTCGAGGTCCTTGGAGATTTTGGTGGCAATGTCCCGAAAAGCTAACGGTGCCCCCCAGAGTCGTGTGTAGCGCACCCCATTAGAAGTCTCTGAGTTGCCCATGGAAAGATGGCACACCTCGGCCTCGAAAGCCACGCGGCCCCCTGCCACACCGTGGGTACAGGAGAGCAGAAAAGGGCCGGCATGTTGGACCTGGCAGCCACATCCGCGCGCTGCCTCCCGCAGAGCCAAAACCACCTCCGCAGGGTCCCGCTGCCCACCACCTCTTAGATCCCAGCCACGTCCGACGGACCGGGGCTCGGACGCTTTTTGATACCCAGGTAAATGGCAACTGGGAAAAAGGTTTTGAACATGTTAACACGTTGCCTCCCAGTCGGTATTATTGGTACCACATTTAAACACTAAAGGAACAAACCTTGTGACCGCAAATCTCCTGATTCCCTCAGATTCATTTGTGACCCTGGAAGACAAACAGGCTCAGGTTTAAGGGGCGACTCACTGTCACACCGCAGGTCTGCGACCCACTGACAAGAGCGGAGATGGCATTCAGCAGTGGACATTATATAGTGACACCAAGCGAGCATCAACAGCAACAGCCAGCATGTGATATATGGAACACCGTCTCTCAGTCCTTCACTAACAGGGTTTAACTCCCCTCTTTTCTCACCAACATTATGGAAAGCATGCAGGTATTGTACGGTCTCTTCACCTACTGCACACGACATTAGCAGTCCTCCAATCACATCAAACTTTTAATAAACAAAACATTTCCACAAGTGTACGTTGGTCTGTTTGAAATGATGACTTCATCTAAAACAAAGGTCAAAGAAATTTGACTTGATTGCAATCATGCTTGAAACTGATTTTGTAAAAATTAACAGTATGAAGATGACACTTAAAGCATGCAAACAAGCAATAATTCAAAACTCGAGTTTTGTCTAAAGAGACAGGCAGACGTTCATGAAGTGAGGGGAAAAAAAAAACTCTGAAAGACCAAGCAGACAGATGGGAGCAGCACAGGAAGGTAATATAGAAGCCAGAGACACGGAAACTTACTAACTGTTTTTGATCCTTGTGGAAGAGTACAACCCGAGACTGATTTGTTTGAGCCCTGGCGCTTGGATGGGTCAAGATGGACCCTGATGCCATGGTGTGGGTAGGGTGGGGGGACAGAGCGAGAAAAGGATGGGGGGGGAGAGGGAAGAGGGGAATCGGCCATGGGTTGGAAAGAGGGTAAGAAAGAAGATAATTGAATCTCAGGAGGGCAAGTGGTGAAAAACAGCGCAGTGCGGCGCAGCAGCTGAGTGGCCGGGATAGAGCTGAGGTTTGATAAGATTAGATTAGATTAGATAATGTGTGATTATGACGACTAGGAGGGTACAGGGGATAATCCAGGGTCACTGGAGGGCTCTCCAAAAAGCCCGAGTGAATATCAAGTCCTGAGAAGCATGGGCCCATACCAGGACTATACCCCAGGGGGCGCTTACCAAGCAGTATAAAACACCAGAGTGCTGTGACATTTTAAGTTTGTGTTCCTATTTCCTGAGGCCTGTTTTCATAGTTTTTTCAATTGTATCTGCCTAAATGAATGATTGAGTAAGTGATGATAAGTACGAATTTTTACTTGGATTTAGTTTTTCAAACACTGGTGATTCTGATGCTGGAGGAAGAACAGAAAAACAACCTGGGGTTTGGCAACAACACATGTAAAGTAAAGTGTATTTTTTTTTACCTGCGAGTGAGTTTCGAGGTCAGCTTGGTAAAGAGGTTGGAGGTCGCCCTGGTGCGGGCGTGGGGCAGGGGACTGGGTTCATGGTGGGACAGGGTAGGTGAAGTAGGTGGGGCCGAATAAACCGGGGGCCCCCGGTCCCTCAGTTGTCCCCCATGAAAGGTGCTGCGAATCGTAGAGCCTCGAGTCAGGCGGCATCGGTCTGAAGAGGAGGAAGAGGAGGCTGCTCCAGCCCCAGTGATGCTGAGGGTGGAGGGAGAGGCTGCAGGCATACGGTGGCTCAGGGAGCTGCAGGAAGGAAAAGGAGGGTTAGGGTTTCATTTTATTCCGGAGAACCCCGATTCAGGTGTTCAGGGACAAGACCTGATTAGAAAAGACAGAAACCTTCAAGAATGGTTGTACCTGTTGTCTTTGCCATTCTGCAGAAGAGAATGTCTGTCTGTGCCTGATCGGTCTGTGCACACGTATGTGTTTCTGCGTGTCATGGCGCTTCCAGGGATGTTATTCTACACAAAGAGAGAAAGAAAAAGAGAGAGAAAGACAGAGAGAGAGAGAGTGTTGGGCGTCTGGGGCTGTAGAACAGTCAAAGTCCTTACTGTATATTTGTTGACTTATTCGGAGACACTGGGACCTTGTTGACTTACTGTGGTGGCCGTCATTTCCTTGCGACGGTCTGGGATCTCAGACTTGTTTGGATTGTTGGCACTGCTGACCATGGGGCTGGAGGGGGGGAGGCTGTGACTCCCCATCACACTGCAGCTGGCCTTACGGGAAGGCATCCGTCCCTCACGCAGCTCCCGGTCGCCCGTGCTGGTTGGGCTCCTCTTGGGGTGCATGACGGGCATGGAGGGCCCACCTTTGTTTTGGAGGACAGCAGAGCCAAAACACACAGAGACTCATATAAGAATCATTCTGCAGTTAGTTTGCACAAAATATGACATGTATTAGATTGACATGCAAAACCCAGGGTGAACTTTGTATGTTGATCGCTGTCAGGCGTCTAAAGTTTATATGTTAGAGAAGAGGCTCACAGAAGTCACTATGCCGTCGCTGCCTGTGGTAGGTAGAGGAGCTGCGCTGAGTCTTGCTGTGTGAGGAGGAGGAGGAAGAGGAAGAGGAGCCGGTGGCGGAGGAGTGCTTGTTGGTGCCATTTGTAATGGGGCTGGGCCGTACCCTGGCCAAAGACAGACTGCTGGCTGTGCGAGTCTCACTGCCCTCCTGTGATGTCACAGCACACAAAATATAGTCACACAGCAAAAAAATGACTCAAATTAGGGGAAAGACAGGACAACTGTGGGGTAGTTAGAATAATTGACCGCATTCATGAAACAGAAAGACCAGGAAACTGGTGACCTTCTTGCTGTAAGGCAAGTGTGCTAAATGTTCCAATTCTGGAAGCAGATTTCTGCCCGTTTAGTTTTACAGCATCAATCATTACTGACAGGTATTTTATGGCAATATTTACTTAATAAAAAATATTGATATCATGTTAAAAAGTCCATAGGTACTTTAACCGCAAAAAAAAGTTATTGTGTGGAAAGTCATCACTGCTGTGGGATTAAAATAAAACCAGTCTGTGAGCTACTGCTTTTCACAGCTTAACAAATGCTTTTATAACAGATTATTAATATTAATAAATTGTATTATTTTTATTACTTGGAACGTAAATGGAAAAAGCTATTTGTTATTAATCAACTTGAACTCTTGAATTCTTATACAAACTACAAAGATGACCTGATAGGCCAGGCATTTATTTATATATACTTCCTTTGGTCCTGGGATGAATTCTGCAGGTAATGATCAAAAGTCAACTTTTATTATTTTAAAGTTAAGACTAATGCTGCTGCATGTACAGCCCCGTGAAAAGGATGGATAAATGTTTTATTAGCCTGTTTCACATCTATAACTTACATCGCCTTTGCGGCCCAGCAGTAAATAGATGGCTGTGACCTCATTGTACTTTTGATTGAGCAGAGAGTCCTTGATTTCCTCCGGGGTGAAGCCCATCCCAACCATCACCTCTGAAGACCCAACAGAAACAAATCAGCACACTCAGTCTTCAAGACATGCTAGCTGCACGAGCAAACTCTGTTTTTTCCGCACCTATGCGAGCCGGATCACTGAAGTCCTCCACTGGTTCTATGTGGGGCTTCAGGTCTTCCCCTTCATACCCTGCGTTTATCCACTTGTCCTTCATGACTTGCTGTAAGAAAAGAAAACAGATGAAACAAGAGCTGCAGCTGCCTCCACACGAAAGTTTGTGTCTGTGTTTTTGGTCCCTCCTTACGTCTAACGTGCAGCGCTTGGTGGGATTGAGCACCAGGAATCGGCGAAGGATCCCCTCACAGTCTGTGGACATGTAGAAGGGCACGCGATACTTTCCCCGCAGCACGCGCTCCCTCAGCTCCTGTGTGCCACAACAGTCACATGTTAAACAAGGCTGCAAATGCAATCAGCCAAAAACAAAACGTGGGATTCTATAAGAAGAGAGTGTCACCAGATAAGATTACATGTTTGGTGTAACGGCCATTAATAACAAGGCAACAGCGACAGTAAATAATAGTTTAACTGTGTGGAAGAATTTCTAACTCCCGCTGGTACATCAAGGGATTCATTACCAGATTAGTTGATGCGATGTTATAATATGTGTTGTGGGAACTGTTTCTCCTTAAATATAATGAGCCGTTTAACAGTAAGAGCTTCAAGATAAAAATACACTAAGTTAAGAATTGCTGCTACAGAAATAAAATGATAATACTGCATCAATTTGCTCTAAACGCGAGTCCCTCACTGCAGGCAGTCAGCTGAGCCACACATGGGAAAGGTTAAACACACATTTGTCTCCACCCTCTGGTGGAGCTCTAGGGGGCCGTTCACAGCCATCTGCTAGAATATGGATAAACGTACTATTTTTACTTTTTCCTAGCAGCAGGTCTTAAACTGTGGAGGAAAACCCAACAAAGAAAGGAGGGAAAATGCTCCTGTATTTAACTGTGACGTCACACAAACATTTAGGACAACAGTATCTGATTTACTGTTCAGCTGAAGAACTGCATGGTCAGCGAATACCGTAGTTCATCAAGGCATAGAACAAACAAATGCAACCTCTTAAAAAAAACTGTTATAGTGCTTTCTGTATCTCGTCTAAAGGTTTCTCTACCTGACAAATATTACATGGTCTGTTCAAAAAGTGCATGTGATGTTTTTTTTTAATGGATAAGTAGCACTACAAAAAAAACAGTTTAGCAACAAACAACACCAACCGTCACCAGCAGTGAGATATGTTGCTGATGTACTATTAGGTAGTGGAAATCAAATCAAAGGTAAAACAGTCAGATTTATTTAAAAATAATTATAATATTATTATATAATGTACCAAATAATTATTAAAATTCGTGTTAATATATCAATAGAATTTAGAAATAACTGATTATTAAATGGCTGTCAAATTAATCCAATTGTTGGCATTTTTTTATTAACTATGCTATGAACTGTATGTGGTTAAGGTTACCTTTTGCTGCATTTTAGGATGTGTTTACTATTTGTGATTGTTTTATTAGCTGACAAATTGTAGCTTATTTGGTAATTAAATTTAATGCACATTATATAATACACACATCATATAGTAATTCCACAAAGGCAACAACCACAGGAATGATTTACCAAATATCTAACTGAATGATGAATTCCTAATGGCTTTATCTTCCACGCTAACAGCGTAAAATAGCTAGCATTAAACTAGCATAAATGCTACATTTAATCTTGTTTCGCTCTGAACTCAGTTAAAGTTAACAGTTAAAGTGTATTTATGTATCTAGAGAGACTGACAGACATCTCATCCACTTGCCTTCAGGTTCTGTCCATCAAAGGGCAGTGAGCCGCTGACCAGTGTGTACAGGATTACCCCCAGACTCCAAACATCCACTTCAGGACCATCATACTTCTTGCCCTGGAAAAGCTCTGGGGCAGCGTAGGGCGGTGAGCCACAGAACGTGTCCAGCTTGTTACCCAGGGTGAACTCATTGCTGAAGCCGAAGTCTGCAATCTTAATGTTGGCGTCTGCGTCCAGCAGGAGGTTCTCCGCCTGAATCATCCAGATGTGGAGCACAGGTGGGCAGAGAGAGGGAGAGAGTGCAAACAGAGAACAATGGAGCGTGAGAAGGGGCAAAGAGGAGGAGAAGATTGTTGGATGGGGGTGAGAAATTGGAATGGGAATGTGGGCGGAATGAAGAAATACAAGAGTGAAACGGATGGTTAGAGGGTGAAGTGTTTACATGTAGTCCAACAATAGACATAGCGGACATGACTCATGTACAGTACATACATCACTGTGTACTAGTACACATAGTAAAATATTATTTTATAACACCAGTAAAAGAAGCTCTGTGCCAAGACCCAGATTAAGATCAGATTATAATATATATACTGTATTTCTTGTTCCTGTCCTGCCTTTGTCTTTGCTTAGACCAGGAATGAGTGGTCCGGGGGCCAGATGCGGCCCGTTCCATCTTTTTAATCTGGCCCGCCAAACATTTCCAAATTACATAATTTATTTATATTATCATTATAATTTCCCTGCAATACCCATGTTTTCCTAAGAGATGGCATAGAAAATTATAACAGGATTTTAGCATTTTATCCTTTATGCAGGACTTTTTCATGTTATTTATCTTAGTTCACATGAGGGCTCCATCTATCTGCTCCTGACCTGGCCCCTCTGTTCAATTTTAGGACAATTGTGGCCCACGCCTGGCTTAGACCTAATCCATCATTTATAAAACCACCCCCAAAACTGAGCCAATCTCACCTTCAAATCCCTGTGGACGATGTTCTTGGTGTGGCAGTAGTGGACAGCAGAAACAATCTGTCAACATAGTAACGCAGAAAACACAGGTGAAAAGGAATGTCACAGGACCATCAGGACTGGAGCTGGGAGGTTCATACCTGTCTAAATTTGGCTCTGGCTTCAACCTCCTTCATTCTCCCATGTGACACGAGGTAGTCGAACACTTCACCTGATGGACGGCACAGGCAGTAAAGCATTAGCGCTGTTCTTTTATTTGCAATGTATCAACATTACACACAATCAATTTCATACACTTTGACCTAGTGATGAGTATTAAGTGTAAGTGAAAGTGAATTATTGTCAGTGATGCACAGCACACCACTGTGTTAACCCCTCACTTTAGTGAACAGGGGGGCAGTTCAAGCACATCAGATACTGAACTCACCTCCACTAGCGTACTCCATGACTAGGTATAAGGTCTTATCCGTCTCGATCACCTCAAAGAGTCGCACTGTAGCCAAAAACCACAGATTAAATTAAATACAGACAAATGAATCCTGTTAACGCTATAAGTATCACACAGCTTCCTGTCTCGACGCAGATGAATCTGCTGTTAAAGCCGAGAGCGTTTGAGCCATGTGACACTTTAGCTTTAGGAAATCCAACATAATGACCTCTGTATGAAACCTGAGACACAACATAGAGTCAATGAATGCTCTGAAGCTAATAGTGCATCACACTTCAGTCGGGTCACATGGTCCAGGCAAATCTCTCTAACACACACACACACACACACACACACACACACACACACTTACCTATGTTAGGGTGATTTAGGCTTTTCATTATCCGGACCTCTCGAAAAAGCTGCAAAAACATAATGATATAATTGGTATAAAAGTAATGTTAAATCCAATCAGTGGCTTTAAACAGTTAAGTAAACAGTTTTGCAGCAGTTAAACAGTTGTGTTCCTTTTTACACAGAAAAAAATAAGTTAGTTTTAGTTAGCTTTAGTTTCCACTCCAAAAGATGATTTAGTTAAAAAATGAAAAATTCAATTCACTTCTGTGCCTTATATATCAGGACTCCTGTCTACATAATAATAATCACATAATACTATGTCACTAAAGGTTTAAGCCACAATTTGGCCATATTATTTAAAAAGTGTCTTTATGTTAGTCTTTGAAAACATTTCATTTGCATGAATAACAACCAAGGAGCTCAAACACAAATGTGTGACTGAAATAAAAAAAAACAACAACATCTTTTACTCCATCTGAGCTTTTCTCACGGCTGGTATTATTTCAGCTTCCTGTGACACATTTATGCAGGAGATCAGTTGTGAGCTTGTTCCCCTGATTTTCCTATAATACCCACTGTCTCTCCTCCACGTCCTCGACTACATCTCAGAAAGAAAAAAAGATAGTGTGATAAGCTTTTTCTATCTTTTTCTAATCCTCCCCCTTCTGCTATTTTCCAATGTGTCTCCCCCTGTTTCCTCCTCCTTCATTCAACTGCTCTGGCAGTGCCCTAACGTCACTGTTGCCATAGCAACCCAGGTATTAAGACCAGGCTCTTTCCTTCCCTCTCCAGCTGTGACAGAGGGAATCTTGGGATACATGTGCACTGGTCTAATGTCTCATCATCCGGGTGTCCCATTAAATCCCAGTTTATTCCAGCAGGACCCTAATGAACACATCAGTTCAAACAATACACTTTCTCTGAGCAACACGTTCATCCCCTACCATTGTTAACACCTTTCATAAAGCTGACTGCATGCTTGACTGCTGTTCTATAAATTTCTTTATATACAAATGTATATTTATGTATATATACATATATAATATATATTTTTACATGTGTCTAAATACATATATTTAGATATTTTTATATATGTGTATATATATTACATATATTTGTATTACAATATGTACAATTAAATACTGTAAAAAACATATATATAAATTGCAATATCACTGAGGGGAACATAGATGATTAAGACACAAGAAGCAAGAAGCTCATTATTACTGATACAGTGACCACTTTATGGTTTTTTTACACCAAAACTGGAACAGAATTTATAAAAAAATCCACCATGTTCCATTAAATAAATCCACAGGACTGACCTAATGGCTCAGAGCCACTTTTTCTTGAACCTACAACCAAAGCAGTTGCTACATTGATTCAATAAATTGATTTAATAAAAATGGAAGCTGCTTACAATAACAATACTAAATCTGCATTTAAAAAAGGCCTCTCAACAAATGCCCGATTGGTTTTGCATAAGTCACGTGTGGCATTAGAAAAAAAAACGTGAAGAAACAGAAACGGAGGATGATCTGGGTGACTGTGGCTAACACGATGAGTCACCCTGCACTTAGGGCAGCGTTTAGCCCAGAGAGAGACGAGAGATGATCTGTGAAGCCGGGGTCTCCTCTTACTCTCATCCAGTGCCTGCACCTGCCAAACAGCATCACATCCGAGCTCCCTCTCATCTGCTCTCTCATAGCCCCTTTCTGACAGTCCACCTCAGAACATGAACCTCTCCTTGGCAGAATACTGTAACTTGGGCAGCTATCATGACCCTCTACATCTTCAGTGTGAACTGTGTCTGTTGTGGCATGTGTTTTATGTGTGTAGCATAAACGTGAACATACCTTTTGTAGGCTGGTTGGATTCAACTGAGTTTTGTCGATAATTTTTATTGCAACCTGGAAGAGAAACGAAACAAACGTCAAACGTCAGTCTCGTTAAAACTAATAAAACTTTCACCAACACAGTTGCAGCGGTCCCCAACCTTTTTTGTATCATGGATCGGTTGGCCAGTATCAGCCGTTCTTGCGTTCCAGTAACTTCACGCCATTGTTGAAGGATCATTACATTTTCAAAATAAAACACCCTTCAGACTTTATTCTGCTAGTATCAGAGTCTGAATGACCTGTTTTTGTGAAACACTATGATTTAATAAAAAAGTAAACTGATATGACTGGATTCTTTTTGAATGAAGTAAATTATTAAAACTGCAGTGAATCTTTTCACTGTGTCCCACTGTGGCCCGATACCAAATAACCTACGGACCGGTACCGATCTTTGGACCGGGGGTTGGGAACCCCTGCTTTAGTGGACTGGGCTATCTAACAGACCACTGCCTTTGTACTAGGTTACAAAAAAGAGAGGAGAGAAATCACATTATTTATTAGTAACCAAGCTGTACTATGACAGGTGGTGAACGATGTCAGCCTGTTGCTATAAGGGATTTTGGAGATTAAATCAAATGATGTGTGTAAATATATTTACATTATAAATATATATTTTTAAGGATCAGTTATATTAATTATATATTTTATTAATAACAATGACACTGTTTGATCCTCTTGCTTCACATCCCTGGTAGCATCTCCATATTAGTCACATGTAATATACTGTAGCTTTTTCAAGTATCTTAAAAACACAAGCTCATTTGCCAACGTCTAAATTTGTAGGTAAGTGTGAGTTCTAAAAGTAAGCTGCTGAATGTAGGTCTGGGACACAAAGAGCAGATGGAGCGAAGGCGCTTTTGACTGATTTGACTTAATCTCTCCCGACTTGCAATAGAATGGCCAGCTGGGCATGTATTAATTGTTCACTCATAAAAAAAAAAAAGTCACACCAAATTTCACACCAAAAATGTTTCGGGTACAACACAAAACTTATCAACACTGCATAACAAAACAAATATATCTTCACTTTACAACCTCCCTTTTTCCCTTGTCTTGAAATTAAATATCCAATAATTACAGAAATAAATAAGTCCAAGAGAAAACTTTTTCCAACTTCGTGTTATGGCTCCAATGGCTAATAAGAGACAAGAAGACCATTTCCTGAGCATTAAATTTTGCTTTGTTTTTTTGAGAGACAGTATAAGTTCATCAGTGGGCAGCCCTTGGGCTCTTAAACCAGCTGCCTATACTTTTGATCTTTTTAGATGTTTGAGAAAAATTAGACATTAAATCTTGCACAGAAAAATAGTAGGGATGCACAAATGTAAACTTCAGCGTGGATCACTCATAATTCATGTCACGCCACACACACAATCTTTTTGGGCAATGTAGGTACTGAAAAAGGAAGTTTTTGTTTATTAGGCTAAAACCACTCAAATAATTTTGTTGGGCAATGAAGTACTATAAAAATATTTTCATTGATTAGTTAGCAGTCAAAAAGAGCGTGAACCTTGTCATGTGAATTAAGCACATTAAAGGTTGTTCATGTTTCATAAATCTGATTAAATTTGTGCTCATTCAGTTCGGACAGTTTTATGAAGAGTTGAAAGACTGTCATTCAGTAATGTTTCCATGGTACAAAACAACAACAAAAAAAATCATCACCATTGGCATCAGCCAAACAACTGGTGCATCCCTAGAGAAGAAGGACTACCAGCTGATCCATGAACTTCTGTCACCCTGGACAGAAGTTCATCTCCGACCGCTGTCTCTAATATCTTACCTCCATTTCTGTCACCATGTGGCGGGCCAGCTTGACTTTGGCAAAGTTCCCCTTGCCAATTGTCTTGAGCAGACGGTAGAAGCCGATGTGCGGCTGCTCGTCTGAGCAGGAGGCAATGGAGTTCCTGCACCGCGCGCCCAGCGAGCGGCTGGACTGGCTGGTTGCCTTGTCTGAGCGACTGGCCCCAAGTGACACATGCTGGAAGAGCGAGAGAGAATGAGAGAGAGGAGAAAGTTGAAGAACACCACAAAAACAATAACTAGAGCACACACTACAATACTCAAATACTGGTGGTCTTCGGTTTACAATGCCTTCAAACCAACAACGAGAACTAGTTGGCGAGTGGAGATGTTTTTAGCTGGTACCATATTTTCAGCCAATAAGAAGAAGAAAAAGACACAGGATTACAGGTACAGGACCATCATACAGGAGTTAGCAGATACACAAGCTTAGAGTGCCCTCTAGTGGCTGTCAATGTGAAAATGACAAACATGTATAATTATATTATATTTTAATGTATAAGTCGCATCTGAGTATAAGTCACAAACCCAGCCAAAGGATGACAAAAAGTGTGACTTATAGTCTGCAAAACACAGTACTTGAAAAAAAAAAATCAGAATCTGCCTAAACGGTGCAACTTCAACTATCTAATAATAAAAACTACATTGTGAGGAAACCATGAGACTTCCACTGTTAGCACTGCTGCTACCATTCAATTATACTAATTGCTGCTGCTCAGTTCTGGAGCCCCCTGCCTCAGACTATTGTTGTGCAGCTATGACAGAGTCCACAGCTTGAGTCACATTTATATCTTCAGCCAGGAAACAGAGCAGAAGAGCAGAGGAGGCCAACAATATGCATTTACACAAACAAAGTGTGATGTATTGCAGTACCAAGCAGCGCCCTGTCATGTGACACAAGAAGGAAAGAGAAGGAAAGACAGCCGATCGATGGTTGTAGTTGGAGGGGGCAAGAGCCCATTTCAGGAGGAGGAGGAAGCAGGACAGTGGAAAGAGATGAGCCGAAAAATTAAGAGATTTATAAAATAAATAAATAACAAGGAAAGAGATGTAAGAAGGAAGTATAAGAGGGGAGCAGATGCTGTCACAGTGGTCCCGTCTGGTCAATACCTCACCCTGAGGCATTGCACTTCCACCCCCCAGCATTTCATTTTGCTCTCATCTTTACATACACAGACACACACATATATACATACATAAAGGCAAACGCCACCGCACAGTACTACAAATATATAGTACACAGTAAGACACTCTCTCTTTCAGCTGCTGCTCTCATGACCAACATCTATCCTGAGACTAAGCTGAGGCTGCAATAGTTAATGTAATAATTCATAAATAATGGACAATTAATTAAGTCTCAAACTGATGTCATAGACCAGAGTGGTTTTATGGTCTGAATTCTTTGTCCTCATGTGATAGTTAACTGATTGTTTAGGCCACATTACCAGTTAACTAAGGAAAAAAATAACAATACTCAGATTCCTCCTGCATAAATACAGTGTTAGTTGCAGTCCTATTACTGTACTGTACCATACTGTAATGTAACCATCACCTTGCCCAGCTTCACCTGTGGTGACATGGCAACACAATTTAGCATCATCATTTCATTCATCTGTCCTCAGTGTTTAACAGTGGAGTGAGGACAGCAGACTCAGATTCATTTTCATGGAACAGATCTGAACTCACAGTCCACCATATACAATGGCAACCCATACACACTGTAAAATTTATTTTTCCCTGAAAAACACAGCCACCATTTCAAATATAAACCCTTTAAGACATACCAAAAAAGGTGGGACATGGGAAAATTAAGGAATGCTCAAAATCTCAACCGTGGAACATAAAAGGTATGAGGTATAAAAGGTGCATCTAAAATAGGCTCTGTTGTTAGTAAAGAAAAAAAGCAAGGTTCACACTTTGTGACCCACTGCATGCGCAAATAGTCCAACAGTTTAAGAATGGCATGACCAATGTATGAAGTTTTATTATTTACACTCCATGATATTATCAAAAGATTGGAAGAATCTTAAGAAAACTTCTCCAATTAACGGGAAATTCATAAAACAGACATGGAACAGCCATGTCCTCCAGTCGTGCTCACTAACCCTTCAGACAACCTTTTGCACTTAACTAACAAGGTTCATCATCAATTACTGGGTTAAAACTCAAACAGGAGCCATACTATAGATCAGTGACACCAAGAAGTGCAGCCAGATTCTCTGGGCACCAGCTCCTCTGAAATGGGCTGATGCCAAGTGGAAATTTGTGGTGTGGTGAGACGACTCCATATTTAATACAAGTGGTAAGGGTGTGTGTTAGTGCCCATGGCATGGGTAAGTTAATATATTTGAAGGCATGCTTCAAAGCAATGCTTAAAGGTACCTACAAGATCCGGAGAAACATATGCTGCCATCCAAGGCAGTATTTCAGAAAAATCTCTGCTCATTTTACCAAGATACCAAGCTATGATCTATAAATGTGTCAACAGGTTTGACTTTTAGATAAAAATGGTGCAGGTACCATACTGGCCTGCCTGCAGTCAGTGTGTAGCGCCAAGTCCGACAACAGAGCAACTGAAGTTGTATAACAACTTCACCACATAAATGGGAAGGAATTCCTTGCACAAGGCTACCTTTCAGTCTCACATAAATGCACCACAAATATCACATTTATTTAGCTAATTAAAACTGTGCAAATAAATCAAAGTTGCAGCTGAAGTTGTGCAGGACGTAGTTTAAATCATTAAACATTTACTAGGGTAAAAAACAAAAACACTAGACAACTAATGGTTTGAAAAACTAAACACTTCTACTACAGTGTAAAAATATAAATTCTTAACAAAGAGACAAAGAGCAGCTTTAGCAAATAGTTAGTCAAATGATAACTAGGGATGTTGTCATCGTGAATTGATTAAAAATCTATACAAATGCTCGACAACTTGCATCTATTGAAGTAAAAAATAAATTGTGCATCAATGCATGTTTGCTGTCGCAAAAAGTCAGAGGTCATATCATGACTACACACTCTAATACAGTAGGTGGCAGTATGCGTTGGTTGTGACTCGCTACTCCATCAAGACTTCAGGTCCCTATGTAATCTAGGTGACATTCAGGTGTTCAAACAGAACGTGGGAAGAACTTCTTCCACTGTGTTTCACAGTGTTTCTGTAAAGAAAGGAACTCTTTTCCAGTTCATATTTTTTAATATTCTTTTGTTGTTTAATAAATTGACAGTTAGTGAGATAAATAAAACCAGACCAGTTTGACTTTTAATAAGAGGAGATAAGTGAGTGTATTGTTATATTTTTAAAGAAGGTTAGTCACCAAATACATTTAGTGTCATTTTTTTTTTTTTATGTAAAACGTGGTTACAGGTAAGTATTTTTAAGGTGATTTTTTTCTTACATTTTTTTCTTTGATAATGATTTTGTGTCACTTCACTGTTTTAGTTGTACTTTTCTCTAATTAATGAGAAAAAAGCTTCCATTTAAGGGTCTATTAGTTGTAAATTGGCTTTTGTACTGTAAAGTACTGGGAGAGACAGTACAAAACACTGTAGAAAACATTTATATGTACTGTATATCAAGTAGAACGAGTAAAAGTTCCTTCCTACAGAATGGTCTACGCTGCCATTGCCCCTGTTCTTTAAACAAATGATCTGTGTCTGTTTGACAGTACAGTCAACCTTTAGTTTTTGCTTTAAGTAGTAATAAACAGTTTTACATAAATACCTGCAAAGGTTTTTGAAATACCCTCATTTCAGATTAAATTAACTATAGTCTATGATTTTTTTCTACTGTAAATATGCTGCTGGGGAGATGAGTGACATTTTTTTGACAGTTTTCAACATAGAATATTGAGATTTATAAATGCTGTGTGTGTATGAAAGGAGCCACAGACCCCTCAAATCCCTTTTATGTACATGGCCTGGTCCCTGGGCCTGATTTTGGTTATGTGTACCAGGGTAGAATTGTGTGAACAGATTTCAGTTCTCACAACAGGAGAAAATGCTGCAGCACACAAACACTATAACACGCAAGGAAATCTAGAGGCTTAAGCAGCCTTCTGTGCTGAGAACAAACAAGTGTTTAAGACAGAAAATGACAAGATGAAACGTCACTGAGCAGGATCACCATTTTAGACGTGACAGAGATAGACAGATAGATAGACAGATAGACAGATAGATAGATAGCTAGATAGATAGATAGATAGGACGTCCAATATTCTTTCTTCCAGTGACATATGAATATTATCATCATGGACTCTCTTATTTCCTGCAGGCCTTTACTGTGTTCTGCACAGCCTCTGTCTGTCACCCACGGGCTCTGGGGTTGGGCGCTTTGTCGGCTGCGCAGCAGCAAAGGACCGCACATCATTTTCGCAGTAATCCCCTCGCTCCCTGCCAACAGCCTTATATTCTCTCTCTATGTGCATGCATTTTTGGCCTTCTCTGCTCCTGTCCCACCCATACGCACACACATATACACACACAGGACGGCATCATTATCAGCAGCAGCAGCAACAGCAGCAGCAGAAAGGTGCATCTATGATGTGACATCACCCTCTCTCTCTCTGTCCAGTCTTATAATCAGAGGTGACAGCTGGTGTTTTAGGGTTTCTGCGCATATCCAGCCCACTGTAATCGTATGCGGGTGGACTCATCCCGGGTGGGCTATGAGCTGCGCAGACACTCAAGGTTAGCCCATCTTCTGCTGCTGTCCTGCTGTCCTAAAACACCCATCCATCCTCCACAGTCCCCACAGTCCTCCTCATGAGACTCACACCTGCGTGCATGTGTGACCCTTGTGTGCACTGTGAATGAATGAGGGCCGGAGGACGCACATACATGATGAGGGGGGTTTTTTAAGGGATGCACGTTCATCTTCTGCGCGCACACGCACACATACACACACAGGTTATGGGCTGTAATTGCACTTACATGGTCTCCTGTGCTCCTGTCGTTTCCAGACGGTAATGCAGATCGAGAAGACATGTTCCCTTTCTCTCGTCCCTGTTCCCTGAGTGACAATCACGGCGTGTGTGCGCGGATGATGTCGATCAGACCGAGTAACATCCGCAGATTCGACTCCAGC